GTTTGTTATTGCATCACATGTAAATGCAAAGCATACAGAAAGATGGAACCGTTCGTTCAGCACCATCTTATACGGCGGTGCTATATATAGGTGGTACTATCCGACATGAGTCGACTGTATATGGTAGCATGTGCATCCATATATATTCACCCAACGTCGCTTCATTCGTGTCTTGTTTTCATTTTAACATTTGATCCGAGAGCAACTAAATTTAAAGGATTTTTAAATGAATATTAGATAGAAACAACATTGAACAAAAAGTAAAGCGAGCGGTACGTTAATACGGAATGTGTCGGACTTCACTTGCCTGATACTGCAGGGGCTTCAGTTTGCATGTCAGGATATAAATAAGAATATACAACACTCTGGTTAAAATCAATTGTATGTATAAATATACTGCCAAAAGCTTTTGCCTATACAAGTAAAACAATTGGGCTTGCAGAAAACGTAATATGCTTTTCCTCAAACACATAAGCAGGAAAAGTCCGTACATGTCAGTGGTCCACATTAATTTCTATATGCACACGATTTCTTTTCGTAGAATGCTTTATTTTAAAGAAAGGCTGCCTCAAAGATCATACGAATGGGCGTTCTTTCTTCTGGTTTTGCCTCTTATTTGTAATACCACGGACTTGTATAATAGGTTATATAGGTCCGTGGTATTACATTATGTACACAGTGATATGATTTTGACAATAATATCATTTTATATGGCATTACATTTCCGACTTGAGTTGTGATGTGTAAACATATATAGGTGTTGCAATAATTTAAAATGTTTATGATACTCTAGCCTAGTTGTGTATGTGTGCTATCACTGCACTCGTCGTCAGAAGTGGTCCAGTTTGATAGGGACCGATACTGCCTGCCTCTTACACGAGCAGTGGCTTGCTCTGCCTGGAACGATGCTGTTATCAGGCAAGCTGGATACGATTGTTATCATCGATTAGACAGATATACAACTTACATACGCTACCAAGAAAACTGGTGAGCCTAAAGTGCACCCTATAACTTGTGCTTGCTATGGGACACAGCCGGGATACAGATAAAATAAAGAAATTTGTCAATTAACATTACTACGTGAATATTTTACTGTTATACTAGTATGAATGGTTCATAAAAGATATACGGAGAATAGTTCAAGGGAGAGAATAGTTCGAGATTGGTGATATACTTTTGAAGAGTTGCCATTTTGTGCGATTTTATAAAGAAAATCTGCCGTATTTGCAAATCGATATCATTTGACAATTGTTTCAGGATTTGTGTCTTGAAAAAAAGATATTAACGAAGTGTAATTCCATGTTTCAAGGAGTGGTATTAAGTTCAGGTTTACGTTTTTAGCTCGTTATGCGACAATGCCGAGTCGTTGTATGTATCTTAATCCACTGAGTTAATATGTACAGAAAATAAGTAAATATATTCACTGTCAAATATAATGTAGTATCTTGAAGTCGTTTGTATAATGTTTAATAATCTTTGACAGGTATATAGAAATAGTTACACAAGAATCACGTTTTATGTATGACAATTATTTTAACAGGCACATAGCGTTTCAGAGTGTGTTCTTTTTACCTTTCCTCGAGTGCACGATTCCACTGATGAAGGAGTCATTCTGAAACACTGTGTGCCTATCAACAATCTTAAAAAGTTGACATCCATAATATTGGTTCTCAAAATGTTTAATGTTTTCAGGTTATAGTTCGCCCAACTAATAAGAATATGTTCATCAATATATACTCCGTGCATATATATCGCTGAATTTTGTTGGTGTTGAAATTGTAAAAAAAACCCCTTCTTTTTCAAATCTATGAAATTATGTCAAAATAAACCCGTCGCTATATTAACGTCTTCTTGACATCTGTGACCAGTGTACAAATGCAATACAAACTGAATCCACTTATTTAATGAACTATTTAAAATAACATATCCAGGAAACCTATAACCACTGATTAATGGTCATGGTCATGAAGTATTAGATTAGTGTTAGTTTCGTTACAATTTAGGCAACCCTTACGCATATCCACGCTCAATACATTACAATGTATACTTAAAAATGGTGTAAATAATTTCAGAACTAGGTTTTTATACTTTCGTGCTATTTACACACTATTCGTAAACTATTGAAATAGTTAACGAATACCACGAAGACGCTCAAGCCAACATAATCGAGTTGTGAGAGATCAACTGTGATATAAATCTTGTAACGTTTCGTCATCTTTAACAAATAACGTAGTGTATTCAACTGAAAACGGACGAAATTCAGTATAATGAAACATGATGACAAGCATAACTTATATTAAATGTCAATGTGTGGTGTAAAGATAAGGACCAACATCATTTGTCAAAATATTCAATCGGTATGAAAGGTCCTAGTCACCATTTATACCGCGCGTTTAATGAATATAACCTTTGAATATTATACCTATAACCCGTCAGTTTATTTTAAATTTCCTATTTTCTCTTTTGAATCTACGAGCGATATTTATGCATAGAATGTGTACGATTCATGCTACAGTGAATAGAGGGCTGAAACCAGTTCTTTGCTCTAGAAATATAACCTCGCTCTCGTTTGTTTTTTACATGTAACCTCCACTCTCAACTCCGAAGAGATTTATGAACGAAAAGTTTACTAACCTAGAAATAAATAATACCCATGTACTTCACTTATCCGTGTGTTGGTATAATATAGAATATGTACGTGCCCCGTCTATAACCATATCTTATAGAACGTAGTGTTCCCCAAGAGTGGAACGGGGTCTTTCATTGATGAATTCTCATCTCACTGTGAAACTGATGACAGGTGCAGTTTCGACATCCATGAATAAGGAAGGTATGAACAACTATATTTTTCTGTGGAGTTATGTGTATGAAGGCAACTGACGATATTGACGAGCCAGTTGCCTGTTTCATAAGCGTGAATAAGATATATATCAATATACACAAAAAGTCTTTTCAGTGTCTATATCCACAAGTAAATAGAAGAACTCATCAATTGCGGTGTGGGTATGAGAGCCGTGAACGCTGGACTAGTGACAGGCACGGAGTGGCTCAGGCGGAGTTAGGTTGTGGTACACACTGCTCCGATCCTTGTCAGAATAAACGGATAAATTAGTCGCTAATAAGAGGCATGTTGATCATGCTTGTTAGGATTTGGGGAGTGGGTAGGATTCACCCCAAGGGAATGAGAGAATGTTGATCCATGCGGTGCAGGTGAGCTACGCAATCATGTGAAGAAAATGAGAGCGTGGAATAGTGACATGCTCTCCGCGCGTTTAAGACCCCCCTCTTTTCATAGTCACCAACCGTCGCAAGGGAAAACTAACAGTACCCGGTACATGGCATTACCTGACTTACGAAGCCCGAAAAAACGAGAACACGAAAAAATGTGACGGGGACACCTGTGGGTATAGTTACAAACGGGGGCACCTGTGGATATAGTTTTAATCGTGGGAAATGAGCTTAATAGAAGCTATCATCATATCGCAAATGTAACATTATCAAGTCCCCGCAAATTTCTGTCTGCTCGTAACAATTATTTTAATACTCTTGCATCAGTAACAAGGGTTTTTTCCTATTATGAATAAGAAAGACAATCTGAACAATTCCATATCGGGGATTTCAGAACTAGAACACGAAATATGTTATAACACTTGTTTAAAAACAATAGCAAAACATGTACTTTCTGTTCAATTACCCATTAGTCCCAAATTAAATTACTAATAGACTTGTCAGAAACCTATTACAAGTAGACCAATAAATAATAAATAAATGATATACGGGAACAACACTTATATACTATATACGTGTGACAATAATTAGTCTTATGCAAAAGAGTGTTTCACCAATACGTCTAAAAGAGGGCTGCATGACATAAACAAAAGAAAGGGGACAGTTTCTAGAACTATATCCCTCCGTGAAAGAGGTTTGTGATATAGCATTGCTTTACACCTGATGGGATAAAACCAAATATTTACAATCGGCATGAGCGGGTTAGGCGGGACTAAGCGCGAGACGAGGATGTGAGAGATTTGTGCCCATTGAACACTGTTCGTCTCTCGCGGGCTGTCACCACCAATTCGACCCTGGCGCTCCGAGTATCTCTACCCAGGCCATTTATCAGAGCTTCTTAGATAGTACCTGCGGGTGTCATGCACAGGCGGTCAGTCCGTTGATAACAATCGAGAGAATCCTCTACGTGCATGACCCGAGACTTCTCGCGAGCGTGTGCCCGCAAACAAACTTTCGCGAATTGTCACTTACCGATATCGCAACTTCAACGCGCACCTGTCGATTACATTCAGCAAATATTTATCAACATAATGACAAGAAAATCGAACTTGGGACAGGGTTATACCGGATCTTAACTCAAGTATAACCTATGATCACATTTCTTATCTTTATTTGTTAACTTCAAAGGGTTTGATAAGAAAAGCCTCGTATTCGTAAACTGATTAGAATTGACACAAAGTTGAAGAAATTAGTAATGTTATTGTCTAAGTTGTAAAGTATGAACAGAAAATGTAAAACTTAAAAAAATGTTAAACAGTTCGACTGTCATGGTAAAAACATATTGCACATTAAAAACACACACACACACACACAATGACACATGTTGCTTGCAGACGACGTGGATTCACTTACCTGTTAATTTTGAAATATCCTTTTTGTAAAGTGGTTCTTCTGCATCTTGGGCTTTAATAATCTCCTCGCTTCGTTCTAATATATTCTGGTGATATTTTTCCTCCACTAATTGTGCAAAGGGAAGTAAACAAACGAGAAGAACTAAGACGGTGGGTACATCCCTTCTCGCCATTTTGAGATAGCAGACGGCTAGTGTGGTCACATGATCACTTGACAGGTGTTTGTGTAAACTTTCGTCGCCAGGTGGCGCTGTCACGTGACCTTTGATCTTCGGTCGAATGTTTCATTCTTTGTTTGCTTTTCAAAAATAGATTTTATTTTGTTTAAGTTAGTAAGAAATAGGTGGAAAGATATTACATAACACGTTTTTTTCTCAGTTTGTATATTGGGCAAGATTTGCCTCCGGGCTTCTTCCGGGTTAGACGACTACTTCCGGTATTGCATGGTGTCGTGTCCAGTCGGCTGCTGTCAAGATGTGAGTATGTTTGCAGTCTGTTTGTCCCCATGAGGTTATGAGACCGTGATATATTTTATGAATTCCATCTTTTGTTGTTTCAGGTCGAAAGTTACTTTCAAGATCACTCTAACATCGGATCCAAAATTGCCGTACAAAGTGTGAGTAGGCACCGCATGGGAAACAATGTTCACATCTGTCCGGTTTTCGATCACATAAAAAATAAAATTCTATGAGCATGATTAACTTTATTTCGCCGAAATATTCATTTACTATTCTTCTTCTAATGCATATCAGTCACTGATACATGATAAACAGTTGAATCATATTCTGATTGGATAATCAGTCCAACATGTTACAACATATGGCAATTTGTTTCTAAATAGGACAATTCCAACAGTAGACACGAAGGTAATTGTGATACTGTCCAGGCCATTCAGTGCCCCAGATTAGCTGCGAAGCTCCATGAAATGCACGAGTAACTTCCCCGTTACCTAATTACTATTGAGTTGCTCACTTACAAGGAGACATGAAAATTTGAGAAACCCACAGTGACAACACTATTGGTTGATTAAACGACAGAGGAACTTTTTCTAAAATTATTAGAATACCCAATAGAAAAATGATTAAGATACCCAATAGACTTAAACACCGTGAAAACGATTAGAGATGAATTGATTTGAATGTACTCATCCAGCAGAAGTTACTAGAACGAGTGTTTTTCATATGTTTGTTCACTTCTTTCTCGCTCTGCACATACTGCCACTGGTCGGTTCGGGCGGACAAGTCAATCTTTCGAGCATTGTAGTGTTTCTGCTGATTATATAATTCATTTAAAATTGTAAAGCCCAAATCGAAGGATTTTGAAACTTTGAGTGTATAAACCATGTAAATAGGACAGGCAGCAGTAACTTTCTATAGCTCAAGTCACTCTCAATTTCCGATTGCTGTGGACAAATATGATGATTCTTTGAGTGTTACCATGGTATCTGTTGCACTTTGATTCCACTTATATGAGCAAATGTTCCAGACAAACACCATTTAGCAGTGCCAGGGTCTTCCGTTCATTGATTCAATTCCCTGAGTCTCATAATTCTTTATTCTCTTGCGTCAGTGGTCTGTCACACTGTTTCACCAAAGTGGAAGTGTCATCATGGCTAACACTGGGCAAAACTGGCACTGACATACATTGCTTTCTTTCATGATCATGAGGATGATCTGTGGACCCAATCAATCCCTAATTCTGTTGACATATTATAACCTAGCAATATGAATTATGAAATGAATTTTTTGTTATTTATCCCATTGATTTCTGTTGCAGTTTGAGTGTACCAGAGGGGACACCGTTTACAGCAGTGTTGAAGTTTGCAGCAGAAGAGGTATGGCCATATATCTGTCCTACACAACCATTAAGGGAGGTACCCGTGAAGATCTAGGGTAGAATAGGTCTTCAGCAACCCATTCTTGCCGTAAAAGGTGACTACGCTTGTCGTAAGAGGCGACTAAAGGGATCGGGTGGTCAGGTTCGCTGACTTGGTTGATGCATGTCATCGTATCCCAACTGCGTGGGTCCGTGCTCATGATGTCAACCACTGGGTTGTCTGGTCCAGACTCGATTATTGACAGACTGCGGTCATAAAGCTGGAATATTGCTGAGTGCTGCGTTAAACACCAAACCAAAGCACAACAGAAGGACGTTTGCAGGGTTTTATTGGACAGAAAATATTACATCCCATACACATAGACTGTAATTGAAGGTGACTAATTTGTAGTGCCCCATGGAAAGACAGAGTACATCAACATGTACAAAATATAACTGGCATTTCTATTCTCAAATCATGTCAAGAATTCTGTTAGACATAACCGAAGATGTTTTTGAGTTTATTTCAGATCAATAATTAACATGATTATTACCTGTAATCATAATAACACTTATAACATGATCTGTGTAAATAGGCTTGTGGGTTTGTAACATATACAAGGTATGGATGTCAAGGATTTACCTTGGCCGTGCCGTTTGGGAGTCCTTGGGGCTCCCTGGCATGTAAACTGGGCCATAGTGTGACCAACGACAAATAATATGTCGAGTATCTACAAAGCCTTAAATTTGTGATCATTATTATGATGTACCTCACTGCACCCTGCCCATACTGCAGCATTAGAAATTGGCACTAGTCATGTAGTCCTTGCCAAACTGCCCAAAAGTTTAGGTATCATAAGGACCAGTAGAAATTTGCCATTTTTAAGGGTTTTGCTATATGTTATCATTATAAGGACTAGCGGATTAAAAATGTTAGTTTCTACCCCTGTACTGACACACGGATGTTTCAGTTCAAGGTTCCTGCTCCCACCAGTGCCATTATAACGAATGACGGAATAGGAATCAACCCAGCCCAGAGTGCAGGTAGGTGTCATGGCTGCATACCAGGAAACAGGAACTTGTTTTACTTGTCCTATCTCACTCTTTGCATTCCTCATTTTGCCTTCAATCATCTGCATGGAAACGTCCATGATCAAAGTTTCCAGCTTCCAAGCTTATTTGCCCAGCCACCCATGCATCACCATGACAACCACCCTAGTATCTAGGTCATGCACCCGGATCTCTTGCAGCACGCTGGCCTCGATCTGGTCCATTGACTGCCTAATCATTCTTTTCCTTTATGCCTCCCTGTGGAGACATATTTTTTTTAGAGAAAATTTATGTCTTTATTTTTCTCAGAAGTTTGGGGACACTATTTGCCTATAAATATAGGTAAGGACCCAGCCAAACATCCAGCCAATTTATTGTTAAAATTACAATTAGTCAAGTTTCCCTGCCTCTACATCCATGATGATCCAGTTTTTTGTATATTTCTATTCTATTATGATAAAGACCCTGGAGCAATTTGCCGCCATAACTTCACAAGTGACGTCACCACCTCAATCTCTCTAACCCAGGACAGAATTTTTCTCGTTCCTGATCTTTAAATCAACAACCAATCAGAAAACCTTGTCAGATCTACATAAAAAAAATCACTGTCTTGTACCACTGTTTTACAGACTCAAAATGAAGGTATGGTGCTGAAAGAGGCAAGGGTGCTGTTGTACAAAGCGATTGTAGCGCTAAGGTGATTGTAACTCCCATACCTTCATATAGACTTACGACGGTCATAGTGCTTCGGTTTGCGCAACAGCATCCTGGATGTACTATGAGAGAATGGAGAAACAATGGGTATGGAGGTAGCTGCTATTTTTAGAATTTAACTATACATCATTGGAGAAACTCAGAAAGCGTTTTGTGCAAATATAGGTTAATATCTTTTTATCCAAGGATTATGACAATTTCACATGGACTTGTGAAGGTTAATTCAAATTCAGCATTATGCTCTACTGGAACTTTACGGTTGGATGAACCATTGATATAAAGCTGTGCATTTATCGTATGAGTGATCATGGTGTAACCTAAAAATCAGGAGCAGTACGATTGCAGTTTCCCACTTAGAAGACGATAATGACATTGTACCAGTTCTTGGGCTTTGATATACCTGTTGAAAGGGGCACGTATGGCCCAGTCATCTCAGGCACTGCAGTGTCCTGTGCAGGGGGGGGCACGTATGGCCCAGTCATCTCAGGCACTGCAGTGTCCTGTGCAGGGGGGGGCACGGGTGGCCCAGTCGTCTAAGGCGTCGCGATTCGCTGTGCAGAGTTGCGTCCCTTGGGCACGCCAGAAACCTATGATTGTGGGTTCGAATCCCGGTTCGCCCCAATTATGTTTCTAGGTTTGTCAGCACCATACCCGTGCTCGTGGGTTTCACCGAAGTGGTAAACGTCTGAGACCTGCATCACTTCGGGCTTTCCTCCCACACGCTGCAATATAACTGGAATACTGTTAAAAGCGGCGTTAAACCCAACTCACTCACTCACTCACTCCTGTGCAGGGTTGTTTATCTTGGACAGACCAGAAACCTATGAACAGTGATTTGAATCCTTGTTCGCCCCAATAATGTTTCTGTTGTTGTCAGCACCATTCAAGTGCTCGTGAGTTTCACCAAAGTGGTAAGCGTCTATGACTTGTATCACTTCAGGCTTTCCTTCCACACTGAGCTTGCACACCGCAATATGGCTGTTGTTCCAAGCAGTGTTATACCCAACTGACTCACTCACTTATATACCTGTTGTCATCTGTGACGTGATTTGTGTTGTCTTCAAAACTCAGGATGCATATTGATACCAGTCGTAGTTGAGGTTCCAATCAATGAATTCCTGCTACCAAAATGGCAGCGATATGGCAGTCACTGTATTTGTTTGTTTTTTTGTTGAATGTTGTTGTAAGACTTCTGGTTTGGGCTTTGTTTCATGACTGATGTGTACTGCAATATATTTTTCAAAAGAAACATATTGCAATATTTTTTCTGTTTTGCTATATTTCCTTATTATTTGTATGCTTTTTTTCTAAAATCTACACTGACATTCATACACAAATGCTTCCCTTTAAAATTAATTGACAAAATGATGAAAACACACATTGTTATCTCCCTTGTATCCATGACTACAAAATGGTCTCGACTGACCATGCTGAGTAATATTAACTTAAGTATGTAGAAAATGGGATCTGTATGTACAATCAGTGTTACACTTTATCTCCCAACATATCACAATACAGATACCTGTATCACAATATATTGCCATACAATTCGTGTTTGCCAATACACAGCTCTATCAGACACTGCCAAGTTCCGATACACTGTTCACTGGCTGAATCGCCTTTGGATGTGTTGGAGAAACAATGCTATCAAAGAGTTAAGCATGTTTAAGTGTTGTCTCTGATTTAGACTTGTTTTGTTATATCTGAGGGAAGATATTTTATCTCATGTATACATACTTCCTTTTCATTTTATCCTTTATTCCCCAGGTAATGTGTTCCTGAAGCATGGCTCCGAGCTGCGATTGATACCCCGGGATCGTGTAGGTCATCAATGAACGGGCAACTCAACATAGTCTCAGAAAATCTCATTCTCATACAATAATCATCTTCTGCTCAGTGTCCATGGCAACACAGCATCTCAGTATCCACGGCAACCCAATATCTACATGGAGTCCTACACAACTGACACCATTGTTGGTCTTTCCATGTATTTCAGATTTTAAGTGTCGACCCAATCTGAACAAGTCTATAATGGTTCATTCCTTTGCCATGTTAATTTGCTATTGGATAGATGGTGCCTTCTGAAGGAAACATATTTTTTTTTCATTGCAAATGAAAGTAGGACAAGATGAATTGATGGTTGATGTGTTTCAAAATTGTTGTCGAGATGGGGCAGTGAAAGTGTTCTGTGGAAAAGTACATTATCTAGTCATTGGGCCAAACTAAAACTATCAAGAATTATTGTTAGCCTGCTTCCTCATGTACATATTTGTCTGAGGTTTCCTTAGGTTGTAGATTTAAGAAGTTGTAAGCTGGTGAAAACAGTTTAGGAACAGTGGTTATTGTTAAGTCTTATAAGCTCGAATTTGTTCTTTTCTGTTAAATATTACAATTATATATTTAGTTCACAGCACCTTCATTTATGGTGTTTGTTATATTGTTTATCACTATCAAACAGTGACAGATGCCCTTCACCTGTTGTTACTATAGTACACTTATGTGAAATGATATTTATGTGATCATGTCGCCTTGTTACACCAAACCACAGTGACACGATAACAAGGTGGCTTTCATTGTCAATTTGAAATCAATATTCTTGTAAATTTATGAATGTATGTTTAAAGATTAAGAGTTAAAGATGTATTACTATCACTATTTGTTTTCTAATTTTGGAAATGTGAGTTAAAGATCTAGGTTACAAGAAGTGTTTGTAACCATGGATACACTGCCAATACGTTTGTTTGTCACTGTTGCAGCGAATAATTCCATTTCCCTGTGTTGCATCATGGCGGTATCATGACGTAACATGATGGCAGTAGCATGACGTAACATCATGACGGTAGCATGACAGTAACATCATGGCGGTCAGTATGCCTGTCTGTCCAGAATCTTCCACCGAGCACATTGATCCGTTATGTCACTGTCTTTGTTTCTTCATAGTTTAAGTTGTGAAAAGCAGCCAATTGTTTTGTTACGCGGCACCAAGCATTTTTCACATGTTCACCATGGATGCTAACTTTAGATAAATGCAGGGTGTTGGTCACATTTCAGTATTCACTGTCTGTAGTTTACAAGTTACCAGCATTTTATTTCCAAAATATTTATTACAGTGCAGAGTAGGCGAATTTTAGAACATGGAGAAAACTGTAGTTTAATTCCTTTGCTCCATTCGATACTTTTCTGTGTTAGGATCTTAGGATACCGCCATAGGCCGTGTCGGAAAAGACTTTATCTGACGATAAGCACTGAGACATCTAAAATCTAGGTACAAGTGAGCAAAGCATTCAAACCAGCATATCTGATTTCTCTATCTCATAAATAAATATAATCCCGAGACAACGACTGCTCCCCAAAGGCCAGGCCAATATGATGCTGTGTCTCATGAGCGATTAGGGGCAGTGATTCGGACAGGTGGTTACAGCATCGACTCATCACTTTTAAACCAAGGTTCGATGCCCCTGATGGTTACTATGTGTTAAGCCCACTTCTGGGGAAACCTTGTGGTGAAAGGGCAGACACAATGAAGACCAGGTTGGAACTCTGTCATGAGTACAATGTGAGATGTCGTTTCTATTGCTAAAAGTAGCGTAACACTCACTCACCCATAGGGACGGCAGGGTGAGTTTAACACGAGGGACATTTCAAACACCATCTTCATCATGTGGGGGGGATAGATGGTGTCAATATTGAGGGATGAAAAAGTGGTGAGAGCACATAGTCAGACGTTGGAAGCAATCACTTGCCAGTGGCTTCAACCGCGAGAGATACTGTTGAAAAAGTCACATCATTTATGGAGGAATATTTTATCAAGTCTATACTGTGGCTAAAAATCAAATTAAATCTGAGATTAACATAAAGATTTAACAAAACGTAAACGTTAACAAATATGTACGGAAGAGAATATATGGATGTAAACACGTTTCGGAGTATGTGCTTACTCCATCAGATGAAACACATGTAAAATGAAGAATATTGAGCTGTTTCAGATGTTCTGTTGGTTTGTGATACAATCTTGCAATGTTATTTATTCAGGTAAATGTTCAAATAAATGTACATATAAAGAAATAAATGTCAATTTTAAATATTTCCTTGAAAGAGTTGTCATGATTACATCTCTTCTACATGATAGTGGAGCATGATTGGCTGAAGTAAGTTGACGTGAAATGGGGTTTAACATCGCGTCCAAGATTATTGCACTTACTTAGCGACATGAATGCATGTGTGTGTGTGTGTGTGGCTGCTTGTACTAGTCCGGACTGATGCCAATTTATAGTGCTAGCCCGCTGAGATACCATGCCGCAGTTTAGCATGAATACCTCACTCAGACACAGTATACCGACTCCGAACCGACCAGTCCTTGTTTTAGCCCCTTAATGCTGAGTGCCAGACAGGGTAACAAGTACCATCTTTTAATGTCCTTTGGTACGAGGCTGCTGGGGATCAAACCCAGGACCTTCCGCTCTCCAGGCGGGCGCTCTAACACTAGACCACTGTGTGGTGTCTCACTCGTAGGACTTAATTCGGGATAATGCTTACCGGTATACTACATTTGGATTAAAATGTTCCCCGACAGGATGGATCCGAACATGGCCAGGGGAAACACTTGATTATGTAATATTTTACGTGTTTATCTGTCTTCAGTGTACCAGATATTTTGGATTAGCTCTTACTATATCAGATTATCGTGTCAAAATGTTGCAAAAACATGTCACTCATTGGATATTTCCAATACAAAAACACATGAAAATCCTCCATATCCTCCCAGGTATTAATGTATCCATTAAGACTAAAAATGCACCATGAGTACAACACAACTTGCCAGAAAAACAAAAGTCAACAAAATGGTTTTGCAAGAAGTTTGTATTTCAAGATGAGTGAACTGTTAGTACATGTGTAGTGGGACTCGTAGCTAACAGACATTGTCCCAGAATTCATAGCTTCATCAGCCTTGTTCAGCGCTATTCTCATAAAGACCAAGAGTTATATATCGATGATATATATTAATGTATGACTTGTCTATCTTGGGAGCCCAGCTTAACAGCCGTATAATCTTGGTATCGTTTGGGATAAAGACAAGATGCCTCAGCAAGCCTGTGGTTCCTATTGCAGTGGTTTCTTATTGTTTTCCATCAGTGAATATATACTACTCAAAAGAACTAAAAGAACACCTGATTCTTTCATATTACTATCGATAATCTGTCATGCCAATGTTTTATTTTAGTTAATCTGTCATGCTATCACAGACCGTTTACTATCAGTAATGTTCAGCCATCTTGTATTTTCCAACACCCACTTCACATATTTCACATGAAAATTCTATTACAGAAATTTGTTATTCAACACTATTTTGTGATATTTTATCATTAATTTTTAATTGTTTGATAGGCATTACTATGAAGTTGACAGATGACAAAGTAGTCACAAGTTATGTAAAATAACTTCTTTAATACTGTAAAGGCAACGTTTTGGTATAAATCCTTATACCGCTGTCAAGCAAGGCTTGTAAGGAACAATACTGAAGCGTTGCCTTTATACTATTAAAGAAGTTGCTATCCAGAAATTGTGTCTACTTTAGCATTAATTATGACGTGCAAGGTGTTTAATCTTTATTAATCTTTTTACAGTTTAAATTGTCAACAAGGTTTGGCCTCTAAGGTTTGAAGAGTAGTCTCCCTTTGACCCTTAATGTCAGGTACTCAGAATAGTGTGATGTGTATACCACACAGTGTAAACGTTTTGGCATAATAACTTCGGTATGGTGTCTTTAGTTGCCGTATTCAGTGTCATATATAGTTGGCACAAAAATGTTTTTCTGCTAACCTAATATGACAACGTATACAGCAACTAAAGACACCATAACTAATAATATCCAACTGGTCTTGAGTTCATTTCTGACTTGTGGTTATGTGAAATAACTAGATTTGGGGAAAAAACAAGAAGTCCATCCTGATTTTCTCTTTTCTTGGATTACCAGACTAGTGGCCATGTCTATCCCTTCAGAATAGGTCCCATGCTTGTTGTAAGAGTTGACTAAATGAGGATCGGGTGGCCCGATCGAACCCCCATGTAATGGAACACTGACCATTCAATCCACCACTGGTTTGCCAGTCTAAATGTTGATTATATACAGGACTATATACTGGACTATTGACCACTGCAGCATAACAAGCAAACATCATATGCATTTATATAAACCATACTCTCCTTAAATGGACAGAGGGGATGCTTATTAAAACCAGACATAATTTGTTTTCAGAGTGCCTGTGAGTGAAACAAGCTCAGACATCGATGAAACTAAACTTTTTCAGCAATAGTTACCAGGCAATTTACGAAATCCTTCTACACAGCTGTTTTCTGTAAAAATATCTGTAATATACACTAGTAATATAGACCATCATATACATTTTTGACTAAGCAGGGCATCATATGGCGAATTCGGTATTAAACATTATACAGATTGTAGACACAAAGTGTCGGTGAAACCTGTAAAGGTTAATATGCCACCAGACCATGAATCATAAGACCAGCTCACCTTGATTCCAAACCCAAACCAGTGCACCTTGGCACTGCTAAGGGAGGCAACTCTGTACAGCAAACCCAATACCATTGCACCTTGGCACAAGCTCCTCACAGCGATAGCCCGTTCGGGGAGCTCGAGAGTGTCACGAAGGTGTCACGCACTGGGAAGGAGCTTGACCTTGGCACTGCTTAGGGAAGCAACTCTGTACAGCAAACCCTTGACCAGCACACCATGGCACAAGCTCCTTCCTAGTGTGTAACACCTCTGTTACACTCTCGGTATAGAGAGCTCCGCAAACAGGATTTGGCTGTGAGGAGCTTGACCATGGCACTGCTAAGGGAGGCAACTCTGTACAACAAACCCAATACCATTGAACCTTGGCACAAGCTCCTCACAGCGACAGCCTGTCCGGGGAGCTCGAGAGTGTCGCGAAGGTGTCACGCACTGGGAAGGAGCTTGACCTTGGCACTGCTAAGGGAAGCAACTCTGTACAGCAAACCCTTGACCAGCACACCATGGCACAAGCTCCTTCCTAGTGCGTGACATGTCCATTACACTTTCGGTATAGAGAGCTCCGAGATAAGGATATCGCTGTGAGGAGCTTGACCATGGCACTGGTAAGGGAGGCAACTCTGTACAGCAAACTGAGGCACACTGGACAACTGGGCAGACTATAGCCCCAGGAGGTTACAACAGAAACAAAGCCAATGAACTAACATAAAATGATTACGAACATAAAGATACTTGTCTTGATTTCTATAAATATTTAAAATCAAAACTAGTAAAGTGAAGGAGGTTAACACAAATATACTTGAGAACAACAACACAGCATTCATTTCATTGAGTGAATTTGGTTTAATGCCGCTTTGAACCATATTTCAGATATTTACTGTGTGTCAACTTAATGTGGGAGAAAAGCCAGAAGGGTTGCAAGCAGGACTAAGGCGCTTAGCACTTCGGTGAATACTATTATCACAGACATAGTCCTGACAAACCAAGAAACTTAACCAGGGAGAATATGGGATTCAAACCATGATCACAGGTTTCTGAAACGCCTAAGGGAAGCAACTCTGCAGAGCGAATACAGTGTGGAAGAAAACTGGGTAGATTAACATAAGTGTAACAGGATTAACGGCAAGCGGGATCACTGTATACTGAGCAGTTGTTTATAAATCAAAGACAAAATGAAAACAATGTCACGTCACATGAAAACAACAACCACATATAAAATTGAGTGCAGATGAATGAATGAGTGTCAACAGAAAATATGAAGGTTTCTTAAAATATCTGAATGTGTACAAAAATATAATAATACTGCTTGTGAAATCAGGAAAAAATGGCAAAAAGTTCACATGTAAAAAAACAACCTATGTTCATTTCCATATACAACGTTTAGGCACGATCCATTTAGTTTCTTCTTTCACAAATCTTTTGTTAAAAAACAAAGAATCAGGAGCACAATTTAAATTTTTTTATATAATTTCAATATGCCAAACTCAGTATTTTTAATTTCAAGAAAATTCTACTTTTGCCAACCAATGATAGGCCAATCAGTACAACTGTAAAACAAGGAAACAAAATGGCCTGGCCTTCATATTAAACTAAACTTCCCCTGAAGGTGGTAAACAAAAGTAACAATGAATTCATTAAAATGTTCCATGACAAGATATTGCACTATATCAGCAAATTCTGCTCATGTGACGACATCCAGTAAATTATGAAGGAGACCCATCCAGCATTATCAAAACCCCAAACAGCGTGAAACTTGTGTCTAACGTGATTTCCATGAACATATTCATATCAGAATAATAACAAAAATCTAGAAGCTAAAACATGGGATGAATATTCAATAAAAAATGCCGACCTTTCCCTGAGAATTCTCAAGGCCATATTCAAAACAAAGGGACCTTCTCCATAGTTAAGGAAAACTATATTCTCAGACAGACAGGCAGACAGAGATAAGAAACAAGTATTATTTCTTAAATTCAACTCGAAAAGCTTTCTCTTGTGTGTTGCACACATATTGAATTGTCTCCCTTTCTCCTCAAGCTACAAACACACATGGGTATGTAAACAAACTAGTCACTTTACAAGCATTTCACACGCAGAAGGATTAGTTATATAGATTAGATGTTGCACAATATATATGTTGTGGAGTGTTTTACTTTAAACAGTTATATAAATGTTCTCAAACACTGAACATGTTCATGATTTTATAAGATTTTGATAGGACATCCTTCTATATAGAATGTGAGGTCTCAAACTGAGAATTTGAACAAGACATCCTGAAATAAACTGTAACAAAAATACAAAATATAGAAATATTTTTTTAATGTCATAAACAATCAAACTTCTTTTGACCCATTTCTCAGAATGACAACTTGAGAATGTGATATTTCTTATGAGTTGGAAGCTTGTCATCATAGTAACAATATTCCTTAGATATTCATGTGATGTGACCAATAAGTGGAATGACACAAACTGAGACACATGTCACGTATCAACCGGCAATGTTTGTTGAACACCCGTTGAGGGGTAGCTTCAAGGAATGTGAAAAAAAATATAGCTAGAAAAATAGAAACCTGAGGATTTTTGAAGCTATTTGCAGCTGCACGACACGAGACATTTAGAGAAATGAAGATGACTGGGAGGTGGAAGGAACACACACAAACCATGCATCCAATGCCCAGTATATAACATCTGTTTTATCTATTAATAAGGCTAAAAAAAAATAATAGTCTTGGTTCTCAGGCATCGCCCACGTCATGATAAAGTCGGTTACATGTTTTGTTCTTATTTCCATTTTAAACAAAATATAAAAAATTCTTTAATATTATGCGTCTCGAAAACACTACCACGGCAGTGAAATGCTGCAATACTTAAGAACAACATGATTTCACCAAAATTATTGTAAACAAAATTTGGTTACATACTAGCTTGAACATAAAAAAAACCCCAAAAATACCGCCTACCTGCACAATATTTTCAAAAGCCATTGCCTGAGAAACAATTCTTTTATTTTTTTAAGTTGTAATCTGTGACATGAAACAAGTTATGATATTTTTTGTAACAAAACGACATAGTCAATACTTTAACAGTAATGTTTATGTCCATGTTTTTCATGATCCTAGTTTTTGAAACAAATTATATGAAAATAAGCATTCATCATCATTTCATAAAAACTTGGAAAGCACCATGCTAAAAAAACTATCCTTACATAAGCACACATATTGTCATATTTCACACCTGTACAAAAAATATGGCTGTATTTTCCCCGCATATATAGATGAGAGTATGTTCACACTGCTATGCTTTTCCTCGTCTCAGTGAATGCTGGGGTGAACCCTGAGATAGCTGCATGTTCCAGGTTTGCATCCTCATCAGTCATCCTGGAAACCAGAAATATACACCATGTCAACATTTAATACACTGAAAACATAATTGCAAGAGCTGCCAACCTCTTTTAACAACTTAGTATTTCCAATGATCATCTCCTGTAATCTATCACAGCTATGCTTCCACAATCGTGGCACGACCAGGTGTACCTAGTTTTGATTTTGATTCCCAGTTTGAGTTTTCATTTTTCCCAGTCATTGGCTTGGTCTCGTAAGTTTTGTCTTTTGTTTGTTGTTTGACATTGCACTCAGCAATATTCCACTTATAAAGTTTTATGATGTTTGCCTGTAAATAGTCAAGTCTGGACCAGACAATCCACATTTGGATAAGGCATGTGGCATGTCATAAGAAGCATATATAATTGTAAAAGGAAATTGTTTTCTCAAGCAGAGTCCAAGTTGGTGGACAAAGTCGAGACAGCAGGAAGCTACTGACCCACTCGTCGTCGTCCACTCCCTCAGCCAGGTCCTGGGGCATGGGGGCGTCACTCAGACCCAGCTTCTTGTCCATAGCACTCAGCAGCTGTAACACAGGAGGGATGACATAGCAACACACAGGCGGGATGATGTAATGGCCTAAATATAGAATGATGCGATGGATGTTCGGGACTGCCAAGTGTCCAATATAGGCCGGGGATACTGCATAGACTGGGTGTTTGTTTGTTTGAAATCGTGAACACACTATCAAAGAAGTCACCAAGAATGACTACCCGACCATTTTGTTGCCTCTTAAGACCACCATAGGTTCCTGGGGATTAATTCTAGCCCTGTATCCCCACGGGGGCATAGAGTTAGTAAGTATTATTTTACCACCCTCTTGCAATAATCCAACAATATCACCGCAGAGGACACCAGAGAATGACTTCATATATTGTGCCCATGTGTGGAATCAAACCTTTGCGTGACAAGTGAACACTTTAACCAATAGTGAGTGAGTGAATATGGTTTTACGCCCCTTTTAGCAATATTCCAGCAATATCACGGCAGGGGACACCAGAAATGGGCTTCACACATTGTACCCATGTCGGGAATCGAACCCGGGTCTTGGGCGTGATGAGCGAATGCTTTAACCACTAGGCTACCTGACTGACCCTTTAACCAATGAGCTACCCTAGAGAACACTGTGTTGATGCTCATCTAGGAACACACACTCAGTGGTGGGTTGGCTGTAGTGTGGTGCAACCCAGATCACATACACTATGAACCGCTGGTGCCCAGTGAGGTCAGGGAAGATGGTGCTCTGGTGTGGAAGGATGGATACAGTGCCCCCTTTCCATGCTGACAGGTCACTCCTTACCTCATCCTTCTTCTGGTCGTCCGTCTTGTACGTGCTGGCGTTGTAGCTCTCAAACTTCCGGGCCTTGGGGGCCTCGGCTGGGGCCTCACTCACTGAAACACAGACAACGTTAGTTACTGTCACCTCATTACACCTGCCCTCATAGCTGTATGAGGCCTCATTACTCTGCTGTTGACAAGATTGACCTGCTGTGCAACAACTCACATAGTTTCATGTCCGTCGGTCTGACACTGATCCTGGGCTGCTTCTTGGTGGATCCAGCAAACCACTCTGAACTGGTCATGACTGGTTCCCATGTCACGCGAGTTTCAGGAAACAGGTCATCTTGGAAATATTCAGTCTGGAGTGAAATGAATGAACAGTGATGAGAGAACAGTGAGACAAGACCATGTGATGAGAGAACAGTGAGACAGGACTAGGTGATGAGAGTACAGTGAGACAGGACTAGGTGATGAGAGAACATTGAGACAGGACTAGGTGATGAGAGAACATTGAGACAGGACTAGGTGATGAGAGAACATTGAGACAGGACTAGGTGGTGAGAGTACAGTGAGACAGGATCAGGTGATGAAAGAACAGTGAGACAGGACTAGGTGATGAGAGAACAGTGAGACAAGACTAGGTGATGAGAGAACAGTAAGACAAGTCTAGGTGATGAGAGAACAGTGAGACAAGACTAGGTGATGAGAGAACAGTGTGACAGGACTAGGTGATGAGAGAACAGTGAGACAGGACTAGGTGACGAGAGAACACTGAGACAGGACTAGGTGATGAGAGAACAGTGAGACAGGACTAGGTGATGAGAGAACAGTGTGACAGGACTAGGTGATGAGAGAACAGTGTGACAGGACTAGGTGATGAGAGAACAGTGAGACAGGACTAGGTGATGAGAGAACAGTGAGACAGGACTAGGTGATGAGAGAACAGTGAGACAGGACTAGGTGATGAGAGAACATTGAGACAGGACTAGGTGATGAGAGAACAGTGAGACAGGACTAGGTGATGAGAGAACAGTGAGACAGGACTAGGTGATGAGAGAACAGTGAGACAGGACTAGGTGATGAGAGAACAGTGAGACAGGACTAGGTGATGAGAGAACAGTGAGACAGGACTAGGTGATGAGAGAACAGTGAGACAGGACTAGGTGGTGAGAGTACAGTGAGACAGGACTAGGTGATGAGAGAACAGTGAGACAGGACTAGGTGATGAGAGAACAGTGAGACAGGACTAGGTGGTGAGAGTACAGTGAGACAGGACTAGGTGATGAGAGAACAGTGAGACAGGACTAGGTGATGAGAGAACAGTGAGACAGGACTAGGTGATGAGAGAACAGTGAGACAGGACTAGGTGGTGAGAGTACAGTGAGACAGGATCAGGTGATGAAAGAACAGTGAGACAGGACTAGGTGATGAGAGAACAGTGAGACAAGACTAGGTGATGAGAGAAAACAGTGAGACACTACAAGGTGATGACAATCATCAACAGGGTGTACCTTTACTCTGGGAACGGTGAAAGACAAGGGTTCAATGCTCGACTTGGTAAGGCGCCACGCAAAGGCAAACTCAACAATTCTCGGATCACAGCTGGGTTTAGGCATGAAAGAAAAGGCTTGTGATTGGTTGGGTGTGGTGAACCCAGACGCAGGAAACAGGTGAGGCTCCTCCTCGCTGATCTCATAGGCATGGACCTGACGATCTCCCTGAAGATTCAAGACAACATGTAAGTGAGTGGGTTCGATTTAACACCACAACAGTATTATAATTATATCATGAACTTGATGTGAGAGGAAATCCCATTATGATGCAAGTCTTAGCAAAAGAAAACTGTGAAATGTTTCAGTCAAGCCGACGTTCTTACCCGACCCTGTAGGAAGACAATGGAGCTGTCTTCATCATAGAAGGGGATACGTATGGAGGGAGATATGTCGAGGTTCTCCCGCACCAGTGGCTCTGTCAGATCAGCTGCATCATACAGGATAACTTCTCGTACACTGTTTCTGAAAGACAATGATTTTCTGTGTGACACAACATCCTTCCAGTAGTCAAACATATACATCAGATTGAATGGAGTAAGAATGGAGCAAGTGGATTCTCAGATCTGCACATATTCCCTATCTTGGGTAGTTCTTGCTCTAGCACAGATGTCATAATGTTTGTTTGTTATTTAATGCAGCAATATGTCAGCCATTCGACAGGGGCCTGTTAATATTAGTCTGGATCCGATTAGTCTGGAACAGTGATTGATATGATGAGCCACATCCCATGCCGTCGTGTATGATGACACACAATAAACTAAGTCATCGAGTATGACCAGCCGATCCATTAAGTTGCCTTGTATGAAAATACACTGGAAACCCTACTGGTCATAAAGAGGCTAGACTTACATGAATATATCCAACTTAGACTACTCCAGACACTGGCTTTCTTCAAACATCATAAGTCACTGGTCCGAAATAAGTTGTGTGACAGTTGAAATTGACATATGACATACAACCTATCACAGACTTCTGACCCGACATAGATTAGAATCCTACTAAACACATCTTCTTAAACCTGTTCCCATCTTTACCTGTCAAAGCCAGACACAAACAAATATTTCCCTCCAAGCGCCCACGTCACCCTCGCACCTCGACTCCCTGCTGGCCCCGGGCCTTCCTGCAGACAGACAAATATTAGTAGTCCATCATGGGGAAACACAATAAGAATGAACGAGTTGGATAAAAAGATGAAACTGCTGAATGAGATGGCTACAGAACTATATCTGACAACATATTGAGGTCTCCCTTTCACCTGTCTGCGAGTGCCATTCATACAACATGTACAAAGTGTCTACTTGCTCACATGCTTTCTGAATCTCATTAAAATCATATCTTGGTTCTCGCTACCGCTAAACAAAGATCTGAGAACACCCCATTACGTCACGTCAGACCAATCTTGTACGAACTTTGACTGACCAATGGAATGACTGACAAGAAGTCGACATTAGCCAATCAGAAGGCAGTTTTCTCGTGCTTAATGCCACTAATTTCAAATTGGTGACTACGCTTCGAAACATATTACGACAATGTCTCGATTAAACATTTGAAACCTGAACAAAAAAACATTCTGGAATGGCTAATAAATGGTCTAGATTGTATGGATTCAGTCATTAAGTCCGTAACTATCATTCGGAATACCCTGTGTTAAAGTTTTAGAGGTTGCATGATTAGAAATCACATTCCGACTGTCACTTACATGATCTGGTAAGCGATGCTCTGATTGGTCGGATGAAAGGTTCGTTCTGACGTGACCCTTAATGGGATGTCCCTAGATCTTTGTTTAGCGGTAGCGAGAACTAAGATCTGATTTTAATGAGATTGCTTGCTTTCTGAAAAAACTTTGAGTCACATAAACTAATCAAGGAAAGATGACAGATTCTATTTTGTGCTTCTTAAGAAACTGTCTACTCACTCTGAGTGGCTGTGAGCTCTTCCTGGGCTCAAACACTCGGACTTTTCCATCCTTGCAGACAGTGGCACACTGATCTCCATCCGGACTCCACGCGAAACAAAACACCTGACAATCAAACATAATACATCAAATACAGCTGAAGCTCAACATGAATGTACTGGAAGACAAACAGGCTGTACTTCCTACGTGGAGATATGTTAGCTTTGCAAGATGTACCAATGTAGATTTAAAGCACTGAATTAAATTGGGAATCTGAAACAACATACAGTGCTATGGGATATAACTCAAAGTAGAAATGACTATTTCTGAAGGTCAATCAACTGGTGTTTATCAGAGGCATGTTACTGTGATTTGAAGTCTCTCATTTATCAATAAGGTTAGTGTGTGCATTGATCATTGAAGAAACAGTATTTCAATGGTGAAGATATTGAACTTAAACTTCATCATTTCATTATTTTCTGGGTCTAGGCTGACACTGTGATGACCATTACATACAGTCTCGGCATACTGTACAGATAGGACAAATGACCCCCCTCTGTCCTCCTGTCTCCTCTCCTTTCTTCTACTGCCTTCCTCTCCGTCCTTCTGTCCTCCCCTTACTTCTGTCCCCTCTCCGTCCTTCTGTCCTCCCCTTACTTCTGTTTCCTCGCCGTCCTTCTGTCCTCCTCATCCGTCCTTCTTTCCTCCCCTTCCTTCTGTCCCCCTCATCCGTCCTTCTGTCCTCCCCTTACTTCTGTTTCCTCGCCGTCCTTCTGTCCTCCTCATCCGTCCTTCTTTCCTCCCCTTCCTTCTGTCCCCTCTCTGTCCTTCTTCCCCCCTTACTTCTGTTTCCTCGCCGTCCTTCTGTCCTCCCCTTACTTCTGTCCCCTCTCTGTCCTTCTGTCCTCCTCATCCGTCCTTCTGTCCTCCCCTTACTTCTGTCCCCCTCATCCGTCCTTCTGTCCTCCCCTTCCTTCTGTCCCCTCTCTGTCCCCCTCATCCGTCCTTCTGTCCTCCCCTTCCTTCTGTCCCCTCTCTGTCCTTCTGTCCTCCTCATCCGTCCTTCTGTCCTCCCTTTACTTCTGTCCTCCTCATCCGTCCTTCTGTCCTCCCCTTACTTCTGTCCCCTCTCTGTCCTTCTGTCCTCCTCGTCCGTCCTTCTGTCCTCCCCTTACTTCTGTCCCCTCTCTGTCCTTCTTCCCCCCCCCTTACTCCTGTCCCCTCTCTGTCCCCTCTCTGTCCTTCTGTCCTCCTCATCCATCCTTCTGTCCTCCCCTTACTTCTGTCCCCTCTCTGTCCTTCTGTCCCCCCCTTACTTCTGTCCCCTCTCTGTCCTTCTGTCCTCCTCATCCATCCTTCTGTCCTCCCCTTACTTCTGTCCCCTCTCCTTCCTTCTGTCCTCCCTATCCATCTATCCTCCCCTTACTTCTGTCCCCTCTCTGTCCTCCTGATCCGTCCTTCTGTCCTCCCCTTACTTCTGTCCCCTCTCTGTCCTTCTGTCCTCCTCATCCGTCCTTCTGTCCTCCCCTTCCTTCTGTCCCCTCTCTGTCCTTCTTCCCCCCCCTTTACTTCTGTCCCCTCTCTGTCCTTTTGTCCTCCTCATCCGTCCTTCTGTCCTCCCCTTACTTCTGTCCCCTCTCTGTCCTCCTCATCCGTCCTTCTGTCCTCCCCTTCCTTCTGTCCCCTCTCTGTCCTTCTGTCCTCCTCATCCGTCCTTCTGTCCTCCCCTTCCTTCTGTTCCCTCTCTGTCCTTCTGTCCTCCTCATCCGTCCTTCTGTCCTCCCCTTACTTCTGTCCCCTCTCTGTCCTTCTCATCCGTCCTTCTGTCCTCCCCTTACTTCTGTCCCCTCTCTGCCCTTCTTTTCCCCCCCCCCCCCTTACTTCTGTCCTCCTCATCCGTCCTTCTGTCCTCCCCTTACTTCTGTCCCCTCTCTGCCCTTCTTTTCCCCCCCCTTACTTCTGTCCCCTCTCTGTCCTTCTGTCCTCCTCATCCGTCCTTCTGTCCTCCCCTTACTTCTGTCCCCTCTCTGTCCTTCTCATCCGTCCTTCTGTCCTCCCCTTACTTCTGTCCCCTCTCTGCCCTTTCCCCCCCCCCCTTACTTCTGTCCTCCTCATCCGTCCTTCTGTCCTCCCCTTACTTCTGTCCCCTCTTCGTCCTTCTGTCCTCCCCTTACTTCTGTCCTTCTGTCCTCCCTTTACTCCTGTCCCCTCTCCTTTCTTCCGTCCTCTTCATCCGTCCATCTGTCCTCCCATCCGCCCTTCTGTCCCCTCTCCTTCCTTCTGTCCTCCCCTGCCTTCTGTCATACACTGACAATGACTTGATGGCATCACTGCTAGAGTACAGACAATATGCAGATGACCCTTGCTGATGGTCAGAAAACTAGACAGGGACAATACAGCAGAGCTCCGTCACTCCTGTCAACCCCCAGTCTGTTGTTATCTCAGTTCCTCCTTTCTTTCCCCTTCCTCCTGTCTCCCCTTTCTGTCTCCCCTTTCCTCCTCCATCTGCCTCCTGACTCCCCCCCCTCCTTCCATCTGCCCCTCCTTCTCCCCCTTCCATCTGCCCCTCCCCCTCACCGCGTCTGTGTGTCCCTCCAGCTGCATGACCTCTGACCCATCGGTCAGGTCCCAGATGCGAACGGTCATGTCGTACGACGCAGACACCAGGATGTCTCGAGCCAGGGGGTGAAAGCGTACAAAGTAAATCTTTTCCATGTGGCCTGAAAAACATTTAGTTAGTTAATAATCACTGGATTGATTCTGACAAACACAATTTCATTCATTTATAAAATTGACTTAAATAACACTTAATAAGCCCATACTTCTATTCAAAATGAAATACTCTCAATAGCAAAGATATTTTCACATATTCAAAGAATTCCTTGAGTGTTTTACTAAACCATAATGTAATAATTCACCTCGAAGATTCAAATCCACCTCAGTCATGTTTTCAGTGATGCCGTTTTCAGGAATGGTCCAAATTCTGATCTTTGCATCATCACATGCTGAAAGAGGAAGTTCGAAGGTTTACAGAGAGTAGCACCGCAATTCCTTCCAAGGTAAACAAACGTAATTTTATCTTTCAAAAACTGGCTTCCACAGGAGATATCACCAAAGTGAGATCAAGCAATATCTCTTAGGATAATGAAAGTCAACTTCCATGACGGTGCTTTGCAGACCATCATGACATGATTGGTTACCATGACGACACAATCAAATGACATCAGACAGTGCTCTGCCACTAAAAACTGCACATGGTTATCTGCACTTTTGTACACATGAGACACTGGCTATTTCTGTCTACATAACTAAGAAAATTAGAAGAATGATTTTGGATGAAAATAGAATCTCACTCGTGACAATTATTGTCTCAATTTGTGTGATTCAAAAGGAAGTTGGGTGAGCTTCACTATATATGCTTGTCAAGGTTTCTGTTATTAATGGTTTCCAGATTTGTTTGTGATATATAGTATCTGTTACGAGAGCTAAAGAAGACATGTCTGATTATTTTCTTTACATCTGGAACTTACCAACCTGTATAAAAATGTCTGTAATGCACAGGTTTGATTTACAAAGAATATTGCTACCTTGCAAATGTTATTGGGTTAGGTGATCCTCTTGTTTATCACTATCATACAACAGGTGCTACAAATGACATAACTTCACCGTGAGACTGTGTGTATGAATGCTGATACATTGCTCAAAATTATGCATTAAAGTCAAGGGATCCTTGTCATGACCAAACCGTTGAATGTTTGAGATTGAGGAGGTCCCAAAATATTAATACTACAGGAGAAGACCTCAAACCTTCAATCTCTTTAGGGGCGTCCATGGATATCCTGTCACCTGAAGATCTTTCTACTAATGTCTGTTGAAGGAGCCCTGAACCCTACTTTCACAATGCATACTGTCATGGTGTTTCTTTCTGTCAGTGTCAGAAGTTTTAGTTGTTTAAAATCAAATGTTTACAAACTAGTTTATAATAGACACGTCTAAGAACTGGTCTGACACTGTGATTACCATCACATACAGTCTGGGGCATATTGCATGCATAGGACAAATGACCCCCCTCCGTCCTCCTGTCTCCCCCTTCCTTCTGTCCTCCATTCCTTCGATGTCCTCCCCTGCTTCTGGTCTCCCCTTCCTTCTGTCCCCCACCTTTTGTCCTCCATTACAACACTTACCTTCTGTCCTCCATTCCTTTGATGTCCTCCCCTGCCTCTGGTCTCCCCCTTCCTTCTGTCCCCCACCTCTTGTCCTCCATTACAACACTTACCTTCTGTCCTCCATTCCCTCGATGTCCTCCCCTGCTTCTGGTCTCCCCTTCCTTCTGTCCCCCACCTTTTGTCCTCCATTACAACACTTACCTTCTGTCCTCCATTCCCTCGATGTCCTCCCCTGCCTCTGGTCTCCCCTTCCTTCTGTCCCCCACTTATGGTCCTCCATTACAACACTTACCAACTGCCAGTCTGTGGTTATCAAACGGGTCCCAGGAGAAATCCATCACCTTGCTGCCATTCTGCAGGGCCGGGATCCCGGAGTCCGGGAGTCGCCCGGGCTGGTCCAGCTACAGAAAAACCATCCTTTAGTGTAAATATACAATTCACTAAACCAATGTTATAGTTAATCAATTTTCTTTGCAGGTTGAAGAATGAGTTCATATTTGGTGAGAAGGGTAACAACCAGAAATAAATAAACTCTTTACGTCAAGCAGCACAGTAAGTGAGCAAGTAAGCGTTTTACCATGTGTCATCAGTACTTAGCTCATATCATGGTAAGGTACCAATAAGCAGTGTGAATGTTTAATTCAAATCAATCCCTGGAAAGGGTGCTCTCTGCCACCCACACAAAATAAAATACAGTGGAACCTAGTTGTGTGGAAGTCGTGGGGACCTGAAAGAAGTTCAAGTTGCCCGGGTTCAAGACATCAGGAAAATATTACGCTTAATTTGGATAATTTGGACTCCCAAATGAGTTTGAGAACAATCAGGAATTTTGACACATCCAAGTTTGACACGAGGTTTGACTAGTCATCAACATGGACAGTTCCTCCGGCCTCACCTCCAGGACCATGATGAGCCCCCCGGGCCCCTCCAGTGGCACGGCACAGCGCTGAGTGTTGGCGGCAAACATGTCACTCTCCCCCGGCACCGTGGTGCTCACGTTCCGCAGGTTCTCAATGTGACGACTCTTGTGCAGCACCTGGCCTTTCAAGTGCCGGAACTTGGACTTACGGACACCTGTGAAGAATATGTACATCGGGCATATCACTCAACAGAATTCATATACTTTTTCAAAAGCATCAGATAATTTGCTATGATACCACATCGATATGATCTCATCCAAGGGTTCTATTATTGTGGATGGTTCTCCATATAGCCGACATCTCCCTGAGGAAAGGGAGTTAACTCACTGTAAAAGTCGAATGTCAATTTTGTTATGTGATTTTGATTTGGCTATGCATCGAGTCCAGCCAAAATATAATTCTATTACTCCAGCCTAGTTTGGCAAGGGTGGAAACTGGACTTTTATAGTCAGTTAACTCCCTTGCCTCAGGAAGATGATTAGCTGTGGGTATTCGTTGTTATCATCAGGTTTGGGGCATCTTGATTAAGGGCGGTGACATAAAATACAAAATAAAAAAAATAAAAAATAAAAAAACTAATCCAGAAGCAACTACTACACATTTGCAACTTAGATGAAACCTACAAGCATAGATATAGTGCTAGGGTTAAAGGATTGTTATCAGGACAATTCTGGGATTCAAACCCACATCAGATCCTGGCATCAAAAGAACACCTCAACAAACTCAGGTTCCACCACTTGCCCTAGGAAGGTGTTGTCTGAGTAACTTCTAACAATTCTGTCCTGAACTATGGAAACCTAGCCACCAACCTGTGAACACTTTAGTCGGTTTAAGGGGTTCTGCATTTTCTGGGGGTTGCGCTGCTGCTGAAGCCATTGCCGGGGATGACCTGCCAGAGTTGCCTGCCCTTTGAACATCTAGCTCAGCTTTCACTGGGGTCTTGTGTTCTGGGGATGATGGTCTCTGTTCTGCCTGGTGTGGTGGTGTAGAGGGTGGGGGCTTTTCTGGAGATGGTTTAGGCTTTTCTGACATTGGTTTTGGTTTTGTAATGACTGGCTTGGGCTGCTGAAAAGGGAAAACAAACCATTTACAAATATAAAAAAAAAATATTTGTCTAGGCATTTATAGCTACTTGATAGGCATTGATATTTTATACAAAACTTCCATTAAGTTTCCAAAAAAATGTAGTCATCTGAAACTCAATAACACACTTAAACATGTTAGAATCCATTGTGACTGTGACTTGGAGAAGAAAATAGAAATATTGTTGTATCTGGAAAATTATCAGAACCAAGATCATTTCAAAGTAGAAAGAAATTTATTTAACTCAGTTTTGCCAGTTTGAGAATTCAAATGGATGAAGCATGCTTCTAATTATGGCCTTACAGGTGAGTTTTCTTTTGGCGTCTGACTCCCGTTGGTTATCTGTGATGCTGGTGACGAACTGGAACTGGTTTGGGCAGAACTACCTCCCGTCAATAAGACAGCTCGGCGGTTGAAATTGTTCTGCTTCTTGGATGGATCAAGACTGATCAGTGATATCTGTGACATGGAAACAAAGTCATCTGTGAAATATGAGCAAGGGTATCAATCAAGTTGATGCTTATGTTAACCACAATTAGTGACATTTCATTTGAAAAAATGTCCACACCTTGTCATTTTGTCCTGAGAACCACTGGTCAGCCGACATGGCGGGGTCCATGGATGATGTCGGAGGGTAGATGTCTTCATGGTAGTCTCGGTAGGACTGAAAGCACGAAGGACACTCACATCACTGTCACAGCTGGTACAAGCATATATGCTCATTGTCAGTCTCACATATGGGGAGATTGTTTGAGCTTGACTGAGAGAGGTCCAACTCCAGATACGGTTATGAGCCATTGAGTATTTACTCACATGTTAACATTCAGGGTGCAGGGATAGCCTTGTAGTTAAGTGTTACAATAAGCAGTAGCATCTTCCCAAGGCAAAATGGCTGCGCCTAGTCAAGAATTGCTGATTGATAATCAAGATCTTTATTGTAATAAAACGGGTCTTACCCCTCTAAATGCATCAAATACCTTATTGCATAATTTAGCACAAATACGCAGCTTATCTGAAGCACTGTTTTGTTTGTTTGTTTTCTTGTTGTTTGGCGCCACACTCAGCAATAGTCCATCCTTACGATGGCGGTCTGTAAATAGTTGAGTCTGGACCAGACAATTCAGTGATGGACATCATGAGCATAGATCTACGGAATTTGGAATCGATGACATGCATCAACCAAGTCAGCAAGCCTGACCACACAATTACGTTAGTCGCCAACTTACGACAAGCATGGGTATTCTTAACCCAGAATCTTCACGGGACATCTGGAGCACTGAGAGGCATTGAATGAGAGTTAATGATCTGATTTACATGGGGTTTACCGGAGACCTATTCTGACCCGGAACTCCCACTAGAATGTATATACTAGAAGTTGACTACATACCTTCCTGGGCACAATGTATGGTGTGGGTATCACGGCGTTGTTGACGAGGCAGAGAAGTCGGTTCACCTCCCCATTCATCACATCCATGGCCCTCTTGGGTACAGTACACAGCCCCTTCACCTGCTCCGTGCGGTCAGTTGAACCTGAGTTTACACACACACTGGGGTCAGTGAAAACTAATACATGTAAGAATTAAACCCATAAGATCAGAGACAGCATTTCATGTTTTGCATCTATTTTGTGTTCTCATACTAATCACATAATATGTCCTACGTGTCCTGCGCCGTGTGATGGTATTGGTTGATAATGAAAACTGAAAGGCACATTGTCCATTATAAAGACCATGCAGTGCAAAGACAACCAGAAGCCAGTCTGTACACGAAATGTTTCAGTGCATTGTGTGTGTTTATTTTGAATGAAATGAGAAGATGTAATACTTTAATATCTGAATATTCCAGCCAAAATATCTGATCCTGCACTCTTACATACAAGAAACAAAACCAGCATCTCCACAAAACCTTCACACATTTACAAAGAGACAATGACAGTGCAAACAAAATCAATGATTTTAAGCTAAAAAAAATAACAGTCTTAGTTCTCAGGCACGGCCCACATCATCATTAAGTCTGCCGCACATTTTGTTTTTAATTCCATTTAAAAAAAATAATTATTTAAATATTCTGTGCATCGAACACACGAAATGATATACTACTTAAGAACAACATGATTTCGCCGAAATTACAAAATAATATAAAAAACATTTTGGTTACATACTAGCTTGAACAACCAACAAACACTGCCTGCCTGCACTATAAATTGTCAAAAGCCATTGCCTTAGAACCAATTCTTTCATTTTTTTAAGCCTTCCACTGTCATTCAACAATTTTTTAGTCTAGACAAAGTGTTTTTCCATTCTCATATGAAGGAGTTTCAGTGATGTGAGGTTGTGTCTCACCCTCAGTGATGTAGGGACTTTTGTCTGTAAGCTCCAAGAACCGTATCAAGTTGTCGCCCTGAAATGAAACACCAGCTGTTAGGATACACACAAGCCTGGCCCTGCCAGCAGTCATATGTCCTGGTGTTAGGATACACACAAGTCTGGCGCTGCCAGCAGTCATATGTCCTGGTGTGGCATACTACATTTGTCCTTCAGGTCATTTGTTTGTTGTTTAACACTGCATTCAGCAATATTCCAGCTACATGAGAGCTCTCTGCAAAAAATTAAGTTTAGACCAGACAATCCAGTGATTGACATCATGGGCAACGATTTAAGCAATTGTGAGTGAGTGAGTGAGTGAGTGAGTGAGTATGGTTTTACACCGCTTTTAGCAATATCACGGCGGGGGACACCACAAATGGGCTTCACACATTGTACCCATGTCGGGAATCAAACCCGGGTCTTCGGCGTGATGAGCGAACGCTCTAACCACTAGGCTACCCGACCGCCCCACACCAGGGAAGAGGTGGTGAAAGAATTCTGTTTCTTTTCAAAATCAGAACGAAGCCAAATTTCTCTGACTGTTATCACAAACTGTTCATAGGAATGCACTGGCAATAAACAGACATTTAAGTCATCCATTTTACCACCATTAATATCATGACCGAGACACCGGTTTTCTACCATGTCTACAAGGTAGCGAAGTTTAAAATTCTCTTGCCTCATCAATCAGCACAATAAATCAGCAGAGAATAATTTAATTTGGCTAAAAAAATTATATTAAATATTTTGTAAAGTCTTGGGTCAGTCACAATCAGAACTAGTTTATTCTGAAGATACATGTTCTTATAAAATTATTTGTGAGCATATATATTAAAACAGCCAAGATGAACTAGTCTGCATGTGACACCCACCTTGCCTGTGATGAACACCATGTTGGTGTCCGGGTCAAAGAACGGCATCAGAATCCTGTAACAGACACCAGCATCAGTAAACTAGCACTCACAGTGCATCATCAGGACTCTCCAGTATATAACAGCAGGATTAGTGAGTGAGTGCTTGGAACAGTTTGTTGTTTAACACCCCACTCAGCAATATTCCAGCTTTATGATGGAAATAATCAAATCTGGACCAGACAATCTAGTGATTGATATCATGAGCTTCGATCCAAACAATTGGGATACGATGAAATGCATCAACCAAGTCTGCTAGCCTGACCACCTATTCCCGTTAGTCGCTTCTTACGACAAGCATAGTCGCCTTAAGATGCTGAAGGCCTATTCTACCCCGGATCTTGGCGGGTCGCTTGGAACAGTATTTCCTTATATCACAGCATGTCAGCTCAATGTGGGAGGAAGGCCTGAACCAGCGCCAGTCAAAGACCACACAGTATATTGGATATGATGCAGTGATCACAGCAGATCCTGGCACAGTTTTCACAGCAAAGACCAACTAGACCACTCAGGCATCCATGGCCTTAGAATAATGAGAAAGTCTGGTTTATTGGTAATTCAAAATAAATTCCATCAGTCTAATTGATTCATAAAACTGTTATACTAATTGATTCATAAAACTGTTATCAATTCAAATATGCATCAAAATAATTCAGTAAATATTCAAGAATTAGTAATGTTAGCACCAAGTACTGAATTACAACTTGATAATGTTTCAATGTTCCTAATAAAGATAAACATGTTTGCTGGCTCCTCAGTGAAAGAGTTGCCTTGTCACACATTGCTCTCACCCAGTGGAAGTGTCGAGAGATATGGAATGTAGTGTACTGGAGAAGTTTCGGGTATCCCACAATCCTATGCAGCGACTTCTAGACTGAAAAGAGAAGGTGTGATTGTCAAAAAGGAAATATTAAAACAGTGGGACAATTAATCTCCTGAATAAGGGTTCCCCCTCTTCCTCCACCGACTCTCCTCCAAGACAGATTGACCTCTTTAATCCAGATAGTGTTGTTCACAGAGACTGGATAATCAAATCTCATGACAAAAAGAAATCACTATTACAGAAAAATGTCTTCTGTTCGTCTGTCTCACAGTCCCTGAACCAAATTCTTTCCCTTCTGCCAAGCTCTTCCTCAATGCAAAAGCCCTAATGAAGCAAGTGTAAATTGTCCTCAGGTTCTGAATCTCCCACCTCACTAGGGCTCCTTTTAATTTAAATGTAGTTGTTTGTTTCTGTCAAAATTAACAGAATCATCTGGAAAGCTGGCTTCCAGATAAACAGGATTCAGACTAATGATGTTTTACTTTACTTATTTGAAAAACGACATGTTTTGTCAATATGAACAATTCTGTCAAGTTTCAAATGTGTATTGAACAATTTCATTGGTTCAGTACAGATTTACTATTCCTGACTGTCTCCAAACCGTTCCATGTCATGACAGAATGCCCGTCTACTCGAACTGTTCCTTGCCTCAACTTGGCAGATTCTCTAACAGCTACAATCAGTGCCATCTGTATCAAGTACGTGAGTTTAATAATAAACATCTGCTATTACTTACTGAATCATAACCGGTTGACATGACGATGTCCTTGTCTCCCAGCCACAGGACCCTGGAATCTTTGATGTTTCCATGACCTGGAGTTTCCTGAATACAATCATAAAGATGTTAAAGAATGACTCTACATGTCGGCAGAACTACTGTAGAAAGACAATCTGTGTTTCCAGATAATCAATACAACGGACAATAATGTCTTCATTTACATTGGGGGTTCAAAATATGCTCAGGTATCACCTGACTTGACCTTCTATGGAGGTGTCCTCCCATCTTAGTGAGTGAGTGAGTGAGTATGGTTTTGCGCAACTTTTAGCAATATTCCAGTAATATCACGGATGGGGACACCAGAAATGGGCTTCACACATTGAACCCATGTCGGGAATAGAACCCGGGTCTTCGGCGTGACGAGCAAACGCTTTAACCACTAGGCTACCCGACCACCCCTCCTCCCATCTTAACGCAGACAGGTATATAATTTAATGAGATTGTAACTAAGATTTTACAGTCCTTACGGGATTCTTCAAACAATAAAATAATACACACACGATAAAACAAGATGTACTTACTTGCAAGATGATCATTATCATACAGGGTTTATTTTCATTTAAAATATTATTGTTCTGTTCCTTTTATTATAAGAAATATTGTTTCAGGAAAATAACCTCTAATAAATCCAAACCATGTTTTGTGCCGACATTACAAATCCATTACAACCTAACAGGGAGAAAACATACCTGCGATATGGAGCCAGCCCTAGGGTCAAATATCCTCAACGTCTTGTCCTTGCAGGACGACAGAAGCAGTGACCCATCCCCCTTCCATGATATGCTCTGTACCAGGTCACCGTGACCCTCTAGTGCTGAAAGGTCAAGGACGACATGTAACAAGGACTTCACTGTTCTCACAAATGTTCTGCTGTGTTCCGAGACAGGAGGAGCTCATTAACAAGGAACAGATAAACAATCAAGAGAAATTCAGCAAGGATGACACTGACATATCAGCTCTCTACTCAGGGCTCGAAAAATCCACTCATCCGCTCGTATTGACGAGTGGCAGCATGTGTAGGGCGAGAAAGAATTGAAGAAACGCTCGTCCTACCGGCTGAGTACATATCTTAATTGTATTCATTTTCGTCTCTAATTGTTTTCAATAAAATATGCCGGATAGTTTCGAACCTTAATATGTTTTAATCTCTCACACGTTCTACGTAATAACAACGAAATGCGTGTCGCTCCTATCATAAATAGACAACATATTCAGCAACTGTCTGTTACAGAAATAAACAGGTAGTGTGTTTGCGCAGCAGGTACTGAAACTAGTTTTTATACTTACCGGTATTATAATTGTTTTATGAGACTTGTTACTGACACTCAGATGTCAAAGCGGTAGAAATACAGCTGATGAATGATTTTGTGAGGGAAATGGCTGACATACGGAAGTTTTTGATCAGGGATGGTGTGGTTGATGAGAATTTAATCTAATTGATTTAATTTAAAAGTAGGCAGAGAAAAGGAATTTTTTTAATAAACCAGTATGGGCAGAGATGAACGTAGATGGTGGGGACTCCTGTAAAATTTAACAGGGCAAGTGAAAACATTGAAGGACGAGAACAAAATATTATCTGCTTGCCCGGCAGGAAAAGTTTAGAAATTTTTTAGCCCTGTTTTCACTTGTTTAAAGCGCCTTGTTATCACATTATAGCCACTTGATGACAGCCCTCTATTATTTTCCATTATGAAAACCTCACTGCTAGTATATTGGCATCTTCCTGAGGCAAGGGAGTTAACTGACTTCAACTGACGTTCAGTTCCACCCTTAGCTTAAATTTTGGCTGGACTAATGATGCATAGTCCGATCAAAATCCCATAACAATATCAACACCCGGTTCATAATCTGTTCAATTGCAGGATTTGCAGAGCATGTGTACCATCAACTGGTTGTCCACAATTATTTTGCAAATCTTTTCAGGTTTTTAATTAAGGTGTTCAAGTGATATGATGCCATTTTATTAAAATCAAGATCTCTATTATCGATGAGATTGTCTTGACTGGACAACGCCATTCTGTTTGAAGCAAATGCAAGTGATATGAAAGGTGGAATCTGATTGGTCAATAGGACGGACACAGAAGGGGCATAACTAGTAGTAGCCACTGGTGGCACTACGATCGAGCTCAGAAATTCCAGCCTTGTTCGGCAAGAGTGGAAACTGAACTTAATGTCAGTTAACTCCCTTGCCTCGGGAAGATGGTATATTGGTTACAGAAATAGCATGTCAACAAATCAGAAGTAAAATGTGTGAGTTTGGGCATTTTGATCACCCCTCTTTATCTTTAACTGAACTCCAAAGAGAAGAGTTCATCGTACTCCAGAGATAAACACACTGGTCACCTATAGAGTCAACTATGCTAATTTGAATTTGGAACCGGATGTGCAGTGTGCTAAATCTACAGGTTACCAATCCCTACATTGAAAACACAGTAATTTTATCTCCATTCTACCATGACTAAATATACCATGAACTCTGTGATGTTAGTGAGTGTATTTAGTGAAGCAGCAAGGATTGAGTCCAATGATTAATAATGACTAGTGTATCTTGTGCATTAATGAACAGTTGTAATAGATTTAATAAAAAGTTAAACATTTTAAACAAACATTTGACATAAAACATGCAATCAATTATTCAGACATACAATCCATCGTATCTGTACAAGGTTCCAATCAATGAATTATCATATAATTTTCTCTTCTTTTCAGTAAAAAGCAAATGACTTTTGGGCTAAGCATGGGACGAGCTTGAAGATGAGTATGAGTACTGCGCAGACTAACCATATTTCTCCTGGGACCTGCAGACATCATAGACTCGGACTGATCTGTACGCAGACGCAGCCAGGACACCGTCAGCCGCCGGGTGCCACAGCACGTTCTCGATCTTCCTCTCTTCTGACGGCAGACTCACCACTGGGTTGCTCTCACTCTCAAATCCAGGGTCCTCTGGGAGAAGCCAGACCTTCAACTGAAGTCAATCATAGAACATAAATCAGAGTCTTTCATTTTTCATTTAACCATAATAATATAAGCTATTGTAGGATCACTGTAGGTACATGGGGTTTTATGTGTCCCGTGATCCTGCTACAACAAATTTAATCTTCTGACATGTTTTAACCTGCCATTGTAAAAGAATTAAAACAATTCAAAATTGATAGAAAACAGCTGTTTACTTGAGCTGAGGTTAACTTGTGCAGTGTCATGTGACTTCCATTGACTTGGAAAAAGCATACAGCTTCTTGCATCAAGGCGGGGTATAAGGGAATTATTCTCCCTCTCAGAAATCCATGTGCAGCCTGACTTGCTCGTGGCGGGTATAAGAGATTTATTCCCCCAAAACTGAATGGTTATTGGTATATGGATTGTTGAGGACTACTCACTGATTGGTCACTTGAACCTGTTGCCAGGAGGTAATCGTCAAATGGGGAGAAGTCAAAATCTGTCACCAGGTCTGAAACACACCATTCACATCCGTGAGGCCCACTTCTGTGGTTGGAAGAAATACCCCATTGCCATACTTAACTCTCAGCAGAAATAAACATTCTAAAACTTTTCTTCATATTGTTTGCGAACTGACACTATTAATGAAAGAATATTACACAAGTGTAACATGAAAGAAATATGCACTTGGTTTTCAGATTAGTGAGTGAGTGAATTGGGTTTAACGCCACTTTTAACAGTATTGCAGTTATATCACGGCGTGTCAGCTTAATGTGGGGGGAAAGCCTGAAGTGTAACCCGCGAGCACGGGTATGGTGCTGACAAACCTAGAAACATAATCGGGGAGAACCGGGATTCTAACCCACAATCATAGGTTTCTGGCGTGCCCAAGGGATGCAACTCTGCACAGCGAATCGCGGCGCCTAAGACGACTGGGCCAACCGTGCCCCTGGTTTTCAGAAGAGAGTGGAACATCATACTAAATGGTAGATTCTTAAAACAAAAGTTTTCACTCTGATTATCCATGCATAACAAAACACCTAGACTGGCTTACACTTGACACTTACTCTTATACTTATGCTCCAATGACTATGTTGTGTACAGTGTTTGAAATTATGGGGTTCTTGTGTCCTTGAGGTGCGCTCTTAAGCCTCCGATAATATCTATAGTACTTCAGTCACGCCACCTTCATGTGGAGGAGAGCCCAAAGTGATACACATCCAGATGAGTGCAAATTTGGTTATTTACTCGTATGTAAAGAGAGAACCCATTTAATAACAATAAGCAGGTATTGCACAGTGTTTAATACCAAAGTGTGTGTTGTTGTACTGTAGGAACATGTTTCACTGACAAATATTGAAAAATCTTCAATCCCTTGGCTATTACAATTTGTGTAGAGATGATAGATCACTGAGGGGAACTAATGAACACTCAATTAGCTCATCAGCCCTGTTCCTTGGCTGACATCACATGGCATTGTTTTGCCGGTGTGTCTTGTATCAAAATTTCACAAATAACGTCATAGGGTACAGTGATGTGATTCTAAACTTTGTATGGCAGGGCCCGTTCCTCACAGTGATAGTAGCGCAATGACAGTCGTAAGTCTATTTTAAAGTACGGGAGTTACGATAACCTTATCCTTACGATAGCTTTGTGGAATGGACGCCTGAATTCTAAAGGTAGGCTGTTGAATGGTATTAATTAATATGTGTCAACTTGTATAATGTGTTTGAAGTATTAATCTGTTAAAATCAATTGGATTATGCTACGGATTGTGTGGATGTCTGATTAATAACACATGATAGTGAAACTTCAAAAAGTTATAAACAGCAAGTAATAAATAAAATACTAAACTGGCACTAATTTTATTAAACTCGTGAATAGTTCAGGTATCGGATTTAGTATTATATATGCATCCCATAAGAGCAGGTATGGTGCTGACAAGTGACATACAACAAACATACTCAGGGGGATTTAAACCACCATCGGGTCCTGGCGGGCCTAAGGGAAGTAACTGTGCACAGGGAATCACAGTCCCTTAGATGACTGGGCCACATGTAAACATAGCAGGTCCACTCACCTCCATGTGCGTGTAGAAGTGGTATCTTCATCCCCTGCCTCCCTGTACAACTCAGTGGCAGAATTCCTAAACTTCCTCCACCTGGTACAGAGAAATCTCTACTGACGTGGCAATCTCCAAAACATATTTTCTTTTTATCAACAAGGCCGGACTATAAAAATGACTGTCAGTGTTCTAGGGCTTGGGCGAGTCCAAATGTATTACCCGGGTACCCACTGTAGGTCTCAATTTGGGTACAAAATGTGTGATTGAGAATTGTTTTACGGAGCCCTGACAAAAGCTGAAGTTGACAGAACAAGATATGTCTTCATTCAAACATATAAAAAAGTCAGAAGGAATGTGTGCATAATCAGAAAGAAATGCGAACATTTCGCGACTTGCAGTGTAACCATGGAGTTTGATTGTTATCGTCATTAAACGAAATATCATGTGACTGACCATGGATCCGGGTAGTCCTGTGGGTACCCAGGTCTTACTCAGGACACACCCGACCCGAGTACCTGACCTACATGGCTAGCCCTACACTGTACCTCTTCCCCCTGCCCCCACCCCTGCCCCCGCAATGATAAAATATACCAGATATGATAACCTGTAACAGGAAATGTTTATGTCCAATAACCTCTTAAATCAAACTTTGCAGTTTCATTGACATTTTGACATGTTTGTTCAACTTTATCTGAATCAAAAGGGTAGCATCATAATATTTTCTTGTAAACTTTTGTTGCATTCTTTAAATAAATTTCCAGTTATTATACAATTTAACAATACAAGCTCATTTTATCATGTAATGATGATGATTATTTCCCATAATACATAAACCCCAAAACACAGTAATACATTTAGTTATTGATCTTTTATATCTTAAAATATTTTTTCCTTTTCTTCTCCCGCTTAACTTTGTGTAATTTGGGGAGAAAATTCTCCAAATCAATTAACTCAGTTGGTCTGGCCGAAATTGTCAGTGAGCATAAGAAATTTTGTTCAATGAACTGATGCACATGGTTTAATAGGTAAATGACAGTATTCAAATATTCTGACAAGTGATGTCTATTTTATGCATATGTAACACAACATGACCGTACCTGTGGAGTCGACATTGAAAGCCATGTACTCTGCGCTGGCCTTGATGTGGTTCCCTTGAGAGTTCATCAATGTTCCAATTGGAAGTTCGGATATCCATTCCTGGAAAACATAGTCTATTTTTAGAGAAAGTCAGGTGTAGAGAAGGTTTTATTAATGTAAATCGGCTTACAATGAAGAAAACAATCACTTGATTTTAATCAATTAAATATTTGGTTTTTGAATTTAATAAGTGTCTGAACCCTCTGATGTTTGTAGTAAGTGAGTGAGTTGGGTTTAACGCCGCTTTTAACATTATTCCAGTTATATCAAGGCGTGTCAGCTTAATGTGGGGGGAAAGCCCGAAGCGATGCAGGTCTCAGACATTTACCATTTTGGTGAAACCCACAAGCACGGGTACGGTGCTGACAAACCTAGAAACATAATCGGGGTAAACCTGGATTCGAACCAACAATCACAGGTTTCTAATGCTCCAAGGGACACAACTCTGCACAGCGAATCACGACGCCTTAGACTACTTGGCCACCTGTGCCCTCTCTGATGTTAGTAAAGAAAATATGTTATCAGTGGGTGAATTAGTTTGGTTCAACCAGGGATTTACCATCTTTCTTCAAGTCCTGGAGACTCTCTTTAACAATTTGGGGGCAAAGGCATGAACTAAATACATGAATGTATATGCCACTTTTATTACAGATGTATAACATGCATTACACATATGATTACATTAATCACATGTATCAAGCACAAGAATATTTCTATTACAAGAAGTGAAAAGTGTTATTCACTAAATGATGTATACATGAATTTGTTACAGTGTTTGACTTTCATGTACTATGAAAACACCACAGATTTGCTTGATGGCCACGGCATAGATATGTATGTTTACAAACCTCCTTCTTTGGAAACTTTGGGACAGAATTCTTATATTTTGATGCCTTAAACCTCCAAGCCATGGTGAATATTCTGCAAATGAAATACAAATAGTTAGAACATGTGTCAGTGCCAAATATATCAATACTTTTACCTCTAAAACATCAAGAATATTTCAACAATGCAGTGCATAATAAATGTGATAAATGCGAATACAACAATCAAATGCTGTCTCTGAAAATGTCCCAAACAAAGAATAAACATACTAATTAGGCTACGTGTACATGTATAAAAACAATAAATGTAACAATTTTCAAAACTTCACCCAAAAACGAATCCGTCCGATGGCGTAAATAGGTTATAAAGTATGATCTGGAAACTGTTTATATTAGTTAGTCAGTAACATCAGAAGCTAGTGCCGGAGTTCACCTCACGTTAAAAGTGATCAATTTGATGATTCAACAGATGTCAAAACGAAAAAGCCCGGGGCACACCGAGCTGAACAGTACTAATTATGCAGAGTTTGGGATAGGTTTCGTAAACGAGGAAGTATCGTGTGGTCGATCTAACAGGTCGACTGATAAGCAACCAAAACGTCGATCGCTTTGTTTTGACTTGGTGTATCGAAACAGGTGTTCGGGGAAGGGGGCGTGTCCTGTTAGATGGGTTAACTCATGCGAATAAAGTCATGAGTGGGGAGAATCAGTTCACCTGCTGCTAAAGTCAATTTGAAACAGTACCGTTGTATCTTATTTTGACACAGCTAGAGTTTTTGCTGATGGGGGAACTCTATCACAACAACAAGGAAATGTCACATGCACCGATGGTTGTTTGAAGTTTCCGGTTATGAGTTCACGCGAGAATATCCGCATGTATGCGAGAGAGCTCCGAAGGGAAACACTTGAATGTCTTTCGACGTATATTTGGCGTTTTTATCTATGAAATAGTAAATATTTCATTACGCATTTTGTATAAACATTCTTTGATCCATTCAATTACAGAAATATTCTTTTATCTATATTTAGTATGAAAATAAAATCCCCTGACTGAATCTAATCCCTTCGGGCATCATCTAACAGAAAACATGGCGGCGCTCAGACGAACATGCGCTGAGCTGACTCGTCGCAGTGTCAACACACAGAGTAGCAGCGTCCGTTCATGTCTTCAGTTGGAGCACATATCGCCAACTCCGTTACCAGTCAGATCATTATCATGTGCATCGTCGTTTAGGTCTACAAATGTTACAATAGGTATGATTATGTTAGTGGCCATTGTTCAGTTTTCGTTCACCGAAATGTTGATCAAACTTGAGGATATTTTGTCCTATTCATTTGTTTTGAGGTGTTTGTCGGATGGTCTATTCTACGACATTGAGATTTTTTCTTGTGCACAATCATGTAACCTCCTTGCGATTACATGACTGCACATTGCACAACGTTTGTCCTTGCAATCACAGAATTGCGTCATTCATCATAACGAGGATAGGATGATGAAAAGTTGTCTGTGTTTGCCTTTAAGAGATACTGTTGAGCTTGAGAAGGATTGATGGTTAGGATAAAGTTATTTAGACTGATTCTACAAATTATGAGACGGGTAGCTATGACATTCCCGTGCATCCCAGAAGTTGTCAATGTCATCCCTCCTGAAACTCTTTGTGCAGTGGAATAAAACAAAGAATAAATCACGCAAGATGTACACAAATACATTCGACAGGTTTGGCAAAACTGTAGCTGTAAAATTATAAATGTTTACTGGTGCACTCTTGCTATCCGACCTCAACTGAAGACAACAGTGATGAACCCTCCCACAATATGTATTGCGATATGATTTAAATGAGTTAGTGTATTACGAAAATATGTAAATGACACATTTCTTTGGGTTTTATATATTATGAAATAAATTAAAATCATCCTAGTACAGGGTGACCGCCTCTTCAGTCAGGGTCTGGTGGTAGAGCATCTGCCGAGAGAGCGGAAGGTCGGGGGGGGGGGGGGGGGTAGGATCCCAGGTCGTGTCATAAAAGATGGTACTTGTTACTGCCTCGCCTGGCACTTATCATTTAGGGGCCAAAACAAGGACTGGTCAGCTCAGAGTCGGTAAACTGTGTCTGAGTGAGTTGTTCATGTTAAACTGTGGCAAGGTATATCAGAATTGATTAGTGGCCTAGCACTATAAAATCGGCATTAGTCCGGACTAGTACAAGCAGCCATACACACACACATGCATGCATGTCGTTATTTAAGTGCAATAATCTTGAACTCGATGTTAAATCCCATTTCAACACCTCATCTCCTGATACTGATAATCTAAAACGTACTGCTGTTTTTCACTGTGTTACCTCCCTTGTATGCCACCATGGTTACAATGGCATACAAAATTGTTTACTTCAAGATCATTTCCAGCAAAAGGGTTGTTATTTGTGAAAGCTGGTGCAAAATTTGCATCGGACTCAAGGACAATGTTACTGTTGTGTGAATCATGGCAATGTATTCATGACCATTAGATGTATGATAACAAAAGCACAGCAGTAAAAAGATATGATTTGGCTGCTAGGTTCCTGGAGAGGCTATAGAGTGCTTGTTGGCTCCGGCTGTAGCTCATGCATCACTGATCTCGCATGAAGCTTTGATCCGTAGGATTGGCCTTGTTAGGGTAGGACAAGTTTCCTGCACTATGAACTACGACCTTCTATGTCCTTATTCTACACTATGAACTTTGACCTTCTACAGAATGAATTATGACCTACTACACTCTATTTCTACACGAAGAACTATGACCTTCTATGTCTGTATTCTACACAATGAACTACATTTGGATGTCCTGATATGCCTACAACATGTATCGATACATTTCAAAATCCTGTCCTTGTTCCACGTGGCCTGGCTAACAAGATAGTGTTGCTTCAACCAGCTTGTGTTTAACTCACATCACTGCTTTAGGCTCATTCTAACAGTATTAGCATTTCCTTTGAAAACTAACCAGAGAAGTTATCAGATCAGGCTATTAAAATACTTTGTTAATACATTTGTAATACTTTGTTAATTGTTACAGAATAAAAATATGAATCCGTACATGGGTGAGGCGTATCATATCAAAATTTGTGATGCATCCATTAGTGGTTGAAGGACAAAACTCTAATGAACTGTGACCTACTATGTCCTCATTCAACACTATGAACTTTGAAATGCAAGGTCTTTATTTTGCAGGTTTTGGTCAAACAGTTCGGAACTGCCCTCAAGTGACCTCTGTCCACTTTGTCCACACATCAAACACTAAACACAAGCGCGATTACTATGATGTGCTGGGAGTGGATCGGTCAGCAGATGCTGCAACCATAAAGAAAGCCTACTATCAGGTAACCATGGCAACTAGAGATGGCAACAGTGGATTGTACATGTTGTACCCAATGGAAATATGTTTTGCAATATGACTTTGCCAAAACTCATTGATTATATTCTTATGTGAGGCCTTCAATCCAAAATTCAGGTTATATTTTTCAAATTGGGTCTGTCGTTCAATTTATGGTCTCTCGCTTTGGTGATTTTACAAATCCCTGAATTTTTATGTTGATACCTGGAGTTTAATTGAAAGAAAAAAAATATTTCAAAGTAATCATTCCTTTTATTATAATTATTATTATTATTATTATTAGTAGTAGTAGTAGTATGTCATCGATCCCAATTGTGTGGATCGATGCTCATGTTGTCCATCACTGGATTGTCTGGTCCAGACTCGATTATTTACAGACCGCCGTCATATAGTGCAGTGTTAAACAACAATCAAACAAAGTAGTAGTAGTCGTAGTAGTTACTCTTTTTTACAGGAACTTTATATGTATTGTCAAGAATTTGGTACAAGGAATAATATTCCTGTACATATGTTTTTCTGCTTCTATTCTATACATTTGTACGTCCTGGACGCACGTTTCTCCCTGATGGTTGTTGTAAATCAGTATTTAACTCAATCTCCTTAACCCTAAGGGCAAGATAATAATTATTAAAAAGACATATTTTGAAATATACTAGTTATTGAATACAGTTGTTTCGGATCCATGATTTGATGCATACCAGATCCTACCAGTCTTCCAAATAACCATGGTTACCAGTTTACTATGTTCAGGATCATTGATGGTGGCTCTAGATTTCCATTTCTGGTCAATGCCTCTGTCTTCCTGCAGCTTGCCAAGAAGTTCCATCCTGACGTCAGCAAGAACGACCCCTCTGCTGCTGGCAAGTTTCAAGAAGTGTCCGAGGCTTACGAGGTACGTACGGCCAGATTTTGAAGATTGGTTATCCATGACATGTACACAGCATTGCAAGCTTGGTAAACAGGAAGAGAAAATCACTGTACTTTTGTTACTTCCACATTTGTGAAAATCTGGCTCAGCTGATCACTAAACAAGGAATTTATGCCTTCAAGCTGAAGGGTAAGCTACTGAACCTTTGGGTCTTAATGGGGTGATTGGTAGCCTAGTGTCTTAGAATTCGCTCATCATACCAAAGACCTGGGTTCGATTTTCCGCATGGGTACAATCATACTACAATGTGTGAAGCCCATTTCCGATGTCTCTCCTGATTTTACTGGAATATTGCTCAAAGAGGAGTAAAACCATACTCATTCAAATTGGCATTTGGCTCTGATAAGCAGCAATCCATCCAAGGATAACTCAGTATTTACTCTCCAAAAAATGAAATGCATAGGTGGTAACAGTATTTTTCAAAAGTAATTTTTGTAACTGGAAAATGCTCCATGGTTCCACTGCTACATGAAAATATAGTCGTTTTCTCAAATCATGCTGTTAACAAAGTATCAGCAGATGCAGGGCGGGCGGAGTGTTTTTTCTGTTTTTTCATACTAGTATGTAACCAAATAAACAGTTGTGTAACTAAATAAACAAAGAATAATCAATAGTCATCTAAGGCACCGCGATTAGCTGTGGAATAATGTTAAAAGCGATGTTCAACCCAACTCACTCACTCACTCCAAGTCCTCCTCATATGATGAGAAATGATGGCAAGAGAACTCAACATTTACTGAAGTGTTCATAAGTAAACTGATTTGAAATACAAGATCTACAACCTGAAGTGAAGTGATGGTCAGCTTGGGCTATGGAAAACACAACAGACTGGCCTGGGGCACACTTGGTAAAGAGTGCTGTGCGTGCCAGGCATGCATTGTGCAATTAGTGGAGACTAAACTGAGAGAAAGCTTACTTAATGTTAGAGAGCTATAGAATGAATGTTTTATGGTATAAAATGCTAACGTATGAAATAAAACTAAAATTCGAATAAATATTGACCTCGTTCAATAAGATGAGGTTCTTATAGCTTATTTTCAGTACTACTGTACATGTCACAAACTAAATGCAACAAGGTCGTCCAACCTTACTAACTAAACAACTTATGTTAATTAAGAGATATACATGTTGATAAATACCTGCCCCTGACAGTCACTGACTACATGGCTAGATTTTAGGAACTTCATTTAACTTGCACCAGGGTCATGTTGACATGAAAACCTAGTTGCACCAGGGTCATGTTGACATGAAAACCTAGTTGCACCAGGGTCATGTTGACATGAAAACCTAGTCGCACCAGGGACATGTTGACATGAAAACCTTGTTGCACCAGGGTCATGTTGACATGAAAACCTAGTCGCACCAGGGACATGTTGACATGAAAACCTAGTTGCACCAGGGACATGTTGACATGAAAACCTTGTTGCACCAGGGGCATGTTGACATGAAAACCTTGTTGCACCAGGGGCATGTTGACATGAAAACTTAGTTACACCAGGGGCATGTTGACATGAAAACCTAGTTGCGCCAGGTGGATGTTGACATGAAAACCTTGTTGCACCAGGGGCATGTTGACGTGAAAACTTAGTTGCACCAGGGGCATGTTGACATGAAAACCTAGTTGCACCAGGTGGATGTTGACATGAAAACCTTGTTGCACCAGGGGCATGTTGACATGAAAACTTAGTTACACCAGGGGCATGTTGACATGAAAACCTAGTTGCACCAGGTGGATGTTGACATGAAAACCTTGTTGCACCAGGGGCATGTTGACGTGAAAACTTAGTTGCACCAGGGGCATGTTGACATGAAAACCTAGTTGGTCCAGGGGGATGTTGACATGAAAACCTAGTTGCACCAGGGACATGTTGACAAGAAAACCTAGTTACACCAGGGGCATGTTGACATGAAAACCTTGTTGGACCAGGGGCATGTTGACATGAAAACCTAGTTGCACCAGGGACATGTTGACAAGAAAACCTAGTTACACCAGGGGCATGTTGACAAGAAAACCTAGTTACACCAGGGGCATGTTGACATGAAAACCTAGTTGCACCAGGGGCATGTTGACAAGAAAACCTAGTTGCACCAGGGGCATGTTGACATGAAAACCTAGTTGCACCAGGGGGATGTTGACATGAAAACCTTGTTGCACCAGGGGCATGTTGACATGAAAACCTAGTTGCACCAGGGGCATGTTGACATGAAAACCCAGTTGCACCAGGGGCATGTTGACATGAAAACCTAGTTGCACCAGGGGCATGTTGACATGAAAACCCAGTTGCACCAGGGGGATGTTGACATGAAAACCTAGTTGCACCAGGGGCATGTTGACATGAAAACCTAGTTGCACCAGGAGCATGTTGACATGAAAACCCAGATGCACCAGGGGCATGTTGACATGAAAACCTAGTTGCACCAGGAGCATGTTGACATGAAAACTTTGTTGCACCAGGAGCATGTTGACATGAAAACCCAGCTGCACCAGAAAAAATAAAGTTGTACTCATGTCCCATAAGTTCATCAAAGATGAAACATAAACTGAATACATACATCACAGATCTCTGATGACTGTCATGATTTTACATCAACGTTGCTATAAAACGTAATAGGATGTGCACGTAATCTTGTACTACCACAGTACAGAGTACATAGAACTTCCATCGTGACGACCCTGCTGAACATGCTGAACAGGAACCCGTTTGGTAATAGCGTTATGTTTTGTTGCTCAGTTAAGTATGTCAGAATGTTGTTAGCCCTCAGATTCCCCCCCCACCAGCCCTTGTTGTACCGAGTAGAAACTAAGTCCACTAGTCCTTATAATGAAAACAGGGGGCACAGGTAGCCCAGTCGTCTTAAGGCGCGGCGTTTTGCTGTGCAGAGTTGCGTCCCTTCGGCACGCCAGAAACCTATGATTGTGGGTTCGAATCCTGGTTCGCCCCGATTATGTTTCTAGGTTTGTCAGCACCATACCCGTGCTTGTGGGTTTCACCGAAGTGGTAGATGGATGATGTACTTTGGCTTCCATTTTGAACTTTCTAGGAGGCAGGGTTTAGCATGGGTTACCCCTGTAGTGTGTACTTGATGCTGATGGCATGTTTTGATGTGTGCAGGTCCTGGGAGACACCTCCAAGAGACAGCAGTATGACACATTCGGGATGGCTGGGAGCGAAGGCAATGCAGGACAGAGACAAAGTGGATTCTCCAGTCAAGGTATGATATCTCTGAAATGTCATCCCTTTGAATGTATCACATTTTCATTCCCTCATTTGATTTTGTTATCCATTGTTACCAATCATTTCTATAGTTAACCTACAAAGTAGTTGGGCACATTGGTGGCCAGTTTGCTGTGCAGAGTTGCATCCCTTAGGCATGCCAGAATCCTATGATCATTGGTTTGAACCACATTACTTTTTCCCCTCACTCGGTATGTATTTTTGCTGCAAATAGCTTCGAGATTGCTGATGCGGTGTTTAACAATAATCAATTACTCCCTCACTCAGTAGACTGCTGACCCGTGAAGATTCGGGGTAGAACAGGTCTTCAGCAACCCATGCTTGTCGTTAAAGGTGACTATGCTTGTCGTAAGAGGCGATCCAGGATTTAATTTGGGTCAAGTTATTTGAGTGAGTGAGTTTGGTTTAATGCCGCTTTGAACAGTATTCCAGTTATTCCTCTGCGTGTCAGCTTGATGTGGGAGGAGAGCCCGAGTGATGCACGTCTCATGTAATTTGAAATGAATTACTTGCCATCACAAGGATGTGAACAACAAACAGTAGACCGCCTCTGTGGTCTAATGGTAGAGTGTCTGCACGGAGAGCGAAGGGTCCGGGATTCGATTCCCGATCGCGTCATTCCAAAAGATGTTAAAAGATGGAACTTGTTGTTACCTTGTCTGGCGCTCGGTATTAAGGGGCTTAAACCAGGTCTGATCCGGTCTGGTATTCATGTTCAACTGTGGCATGGTATCTCAGTGTGCTAGCACTATAAATCGCCATCAGTCCAGACTTGTACAAGCAGCCATGCACGTGCATGCACATGTTATATATATGTGCAATAATCTTGGACACAATGTTAAACCCTATTTCACCTCACCTCACTCACTCATATGTATTCTCTTGCAGGTTTTGAAAACTTTCATGGCTCTATTGATCCAGAGGAGTTGTTCAGGAATATCTTTGGTAATGCTGGTTTCCGGATGTCTGGTTTTGGCAACATGAATGACTTCGAGGAGTCCAAGTTTGGGTTTGCTCCAGCCTCAGAAGTAAGTATATATTAAGGTTGCAACTTGCAGAGCAGCACAGTGTATTGCCTAGATGACCAATCGGGGGAACACAGCATAAAAGTTGAAAATGGACGCAGAAAAAGAATGTACTGAGTTCCGAAGGACACACAATGATATTCATTGTACCTACAGCGCACCAAGAGCAGTAATGGGCGTCTGTCATTTCATCCATCAATCATGACCACTGTCCACATGATCGTTGATTTAATCCAGGCTCTGAAGTAATGATCGAATCATACAGTACACTACACCACTTCATTACTTTACAGGACCCCCAAATTGTCTGCAAGGACCTTTAAAAATAATTATTGCAGGTCCCCTGGACCCCCACTTTTGTAAGCCAATGTAAAACTAAGAGTTGTCACTTCTTATTGTGCTGGAGGGACGCCTGCGTGGTCTAGTGGTAGAGTGTCCACCCACAACACAAGACGTTTAAGATGGTACTTGTTGTTACCCTGTCTGGCGCTCAGCATTTAAGGGGTTCAAACAAGGACTGGTCGGCTCGGAATCAGTATACTGTGTCTTTGAGTGGGATATTAATTTGAGTGAGTGAGTGAGTTGGGTTTAATGCCGCTTTGAACAGTATTCCTTTTATTCCTCGACGTGTCAGCTTGATGTAGGAAAGAACCTGAAGTGATATACGTCTCATGTACTTTGAAATGAATTACTTGACATCACAAGGATGTGAACAGCTCAGAGTGTTTGTGTCACTTTGTTCACTAACAGGATCGGGTGGGCAGGCTCGCTGACTTGACTTGGTTGATGCATGTCAATGTATCCCAATTGCATGGATCGGTGCTCATGATGTCAATCACTGGATTGTCAGGTCCAGACTCGATTATTTACAGACCGCCGTCGTAGAGCTGGATTATTGATGAGTGCGGTGCTAAACAAAAAGCAAACAAACAAATCAACAAACACAACTGTGGCTCATGAACGCCTTTTGGTGCCAGTTGAGCACAGGCTCATGTTTCAGAAACCCATGGTTTGTTTCTCTACTTCCAGATAATGATGGACCTGACGTTTCAAGAAGCAGCCCGCGGCGTGAACAAGGACATCAATGTCAATGTCAAGGACGTCTGTCCCAAGTGTTCTGGGAAGAAGGCAGAACCCGGGACAAAACCTGTCAAGTGCCATTTCTGCAATGGGACGGGAATGGTAATTTAAATACATGTATTCCAATAAATGGAACAATTTATCAGTTAAAGCTTCCACATCTGACTAAACTGGTGATGTCCTCACACACTAGCTTCATCATGGCAAAGATCATCTGATTCTTTCATGTTACTATGGTTAATCTGTCCTGCCATGCCATTAACTATAGCAGGGCTGGGATGAGCCCATATTTACTACCCCAGGGTTCACACTTGGAATTTTCTGACATGGGCCCTTTTTGTGAAATTTTAAATATTCCAGAGGTACGCACAATGTTAAAATGCCCCATTATATTTGAAAATTTGGGCCTTTTTTTCAGATTTAGGGGCTAAAAACCCGAGGCCCCAACCTAGAATTATCCCTGCTACCTGGGTAGCCATCCCCCTATTACCCGACCCTACCTGGTAACCATTCCCCTATTACCCGACCCTACCTGGTAGCCATCCCCCTATTACCCGACCCTACCTGGTAGCCATCCCCCTATTACCTGACCCTACCTGGTAGCCATCCCCCTATTACCCGACCCTACCTGGGTACCTCCTGTAGGTCTCGAGAGATAGGTACAAATGTCAAATTGGGAATAGTTTGACCATACTTCTGGCAAAATGTATTTAGGTACTCGTATAGAACGATCTGGTCATGCATACACTGAAGTTGACTGAAGTTTTATCTTCATGCAAACATATAAAGTCAGAAGGAATGTGTGCATATTCAGAACAAAATGTGAACATTTGTTACAATGTAACCATGGAGTTCTAGATACTTTTTGCTATTAGATTGGTCCGGGTAGTCCTGTGGGTACCCAGGTCCTACTCAGAACCCACCCGACCTGAGTACCTGAGGTACCCGCTCCAGCCCTAAACTATAGTAATATGAAACAATTAGTGTTCTTAAACATAGCTTCTTTCCGAGACTGTGAAGGCATTCCCACCAGAACATGCCAATGCAGATCTGTTATATAAAAAGTGTCATAATCAAGGATTGACTTGTTTTGTTCATCTCTTTAGCACGCTCAGGTATTGCAGTCTTTTAGTACAAAATACAAAAGTGGCACCATATTTAGCATTTGAAAAGTTAGCATTTCAGTATAATTTGTCATAGGTACTTTTGGCAGGTATGTTTATCATGTTTATTACAGTCTAATCTATCTGCAGTTTCATTTTGATAAACTATGAGTGAGTGAGTGGGTATGGTTTTATGCCACTTTTAGCAATATTCCAGCAATATCACGGTGGGGGACACCAGAAATGGACTTCACACATTGTACCCATGTCAGGAATCGAACCCGGGTCTTCGGCGTGACAAGTTAACACACTACCTGACCGCCCCTGATAAACTATGAACAAAGGCTAAAAAAAAGTCTTGGTTCTCAGGCACCGCCCGCATCATCATAAAGTTCGCCGCATGTTCCCTTTTTATTTCCATTTAAAAAAAAAAAATAGAATTTTGAAATATACCAAGTCTAACAGGAGTCAAATACTGTATTCCAGTTTTTACTCATCAAGGAATACATTTATGTAGGGAGGCCCTTTCCCAGGTTGATTGTACACAACTGTTTATTTGGTTACATACTAGTTAACACCCCCCCTCCCTAAAAAAAAAGACACAGCCCGTCTGCATTATATTTTCAAAAACCATTGCCTGAAAACCAATTCTTTTATTTTTTAAAGCCAGAAATATCTCTGGTTTGCATCCACACATCCAGATTGTACTCAAATCAATATGGCTGAAATACATTAAGCTAAAAAAATAGGAGTCTTGGTTCTCAGGCACCACCCACATCATCATAAAGTCTGCCACATGCTTAGTTTTTATTTCCATTTTCAAAAAAATATAAACATCCTAATATACTACTCAAAAGAAGTTAAGGAACGAACAATTCTTTCTTTATTACTATAGTTAATCTGTCATAATCTGAGATATTAACCATAGTAATATGAAAGAATCAGGTGTTCCTTAACTTCTTTTGAGTAGTATACTTAAACACAATGCACAATAAAAATTGAAAATGGAAACTAAAACAAAACATGCAGTGAACTTTTTGATGATGTGGGCTGTGCCTCAGAACCAAGACTATTATTTTTTTTAGCCTTAAGCGCCTGAGACGTGAGACAAGATGCGGAAAGGTGTAACCCAGCAGTTTTCCTTCAGTCTTTGTGGAGATAAACTTATGCTGCACCTCAGAGCCCGAATGTTTCTGTGTATTACGTCAGTTTATGATAACATATATAATGATTGCACCTGTAACAGGAAACAATCAACACCGGGCCTTTCATGATGCGAACGACATGCCGACACTGCTTCGGGAGTCGTGTGTTGATCAAGACGCCATGTACGGAGTGTAACGGAAAAGGCAGCCTCATCATGAGGAAGAGAGTCACAGTTCCTGTCCCAGCAGGGGTGGAGAATGGACAGACGGTTAGGATGCCCGTTGGCCGGCAGGAAATTTTTATTACATTCAAAGTAAGTTTGGCAAAGAATCTCTTTGCTGTTGTGATTGCTGTTGCTGTTGTTTCGGACAGGAACTTCTGCAGATGGTAATTATTTTGAGAGATGTGTATTGATTGTTGAGTAGCTGTGTCAGCAAGTTAGGGCACATCACATTCCAGTGTTTCTCTCATTCACTACCTCCAGGGAAAGTCAAAGTTATTCATGTTTATTTAGTAAATGTACCTTTGAGTATGCATTACACATGCTTTTTACTATTACTTACATAACTATGTGTTGTTGTTGTTCTGGTGGCCAAGAGTCTGTGTATGACTATGTGTTGTTGTTGTCGAGGTGGCCAAGAGTCTGTGTATGACTATGTGTTGTTGTTGTCCAGGTGCCAAAGAGTCTGTGTATGACTATGTGTTGTTGTTGTTCTGGTGGCCAAGAGTCTGTGTATGACTATGTGTTGTTGTTGTTGTCCAGGTGGCCAAGAGTCTGTGTATGACTATGTGTTGTTGTTGTCCAGGTGGCCAAGAGTCTGTGTATGACTATGTGTTGTTGTTGTCCAGGTGGCCAAGAGTCTGTGTATGACTATGTGTTGTTGTTGTCCAGGTGGCCAAGAGTCAGTGTATGACTATGTGTTGTTGTTGTCCAGGTGGCCAAGAGTCTGTGTATGACTATGTGTTGTTGTTGTCCAGGTGCCAAAGAGTCTGTGTATGACTATGTGTTGTTGTTGTTGTCCAGGTGGCCAAGAGTCTGTGTATGACTATGTGTTGTTGTTATTGTTCAAGTGGCCAAGAGTCTGTGTATGACTATGTGTTGTTGTTGTCCAGGTGGCCAAGAGTCTGTGTATGACTATGTGTTGTTGTTGTCCAGGTGGCCAAGAGTCTGTGTGTGACTATGTGTTGTTGTTGTCCAGGTGGCCAAGAGTCTGTGTGTGACTATGTGTTGTTGTTGTCCAGGTTGCCAAGAGTCTGTGTATGACTATGTGTTGTTGTTGTCCAGGTGGCCAAGAGTCTGTGTATGACTATGTGTTGTTGTTGTCCAGGTGGCCAAGAGTCTGTGTATGACTATGTGTTGTTGTTGTTGTCCAGGTTGCCAAGAGTCTGTGTATGACTATGTGTTGTTGTTGTCCAGGTGGCCAAGAGTCTGTGTATGACTATGTCTTGTTATTATCCAGGTGGCCAAGAGTCTGTGTATGACTATGTGTTGATGTTGTTGTCCAGGTTGCCAAGAGTCTGTGTATGACTATGTGTTGATGTTGTTGTCCAGGTTGCCAAGAGTCTGTGTATGACTATGTGTTGTTATTATCCAGTTGGCCAAGAGTCTGTGTATGACTATGTGTTGTTGTTGTCCAGGTGGCCAAGAGTCTGTGTATGACCATGTGTTGTTGTTGTTGTCCAGGTGGCCAAGAGTCTGTGTATGACTATGAGTTGTTGTTCTGGTGGCCAAGAGTCTGTGTATGACTATGTGTTGTTGTTGTCCAGTTGGCCAAGAGTCTGTATATGACTATGTGTTGTTGTTGTCCAGGTGGCCAAGAGTCTGTGTATGACTATGTGTTGTTGTTGTCGTCCAGGTGCCAAGAGTCTGTGTATGACTATGTGTCGTTGTTGTCCAGGTGGCCAAGAGTCTGTGTATGACTATGTGTTGTTGTTGTTCAGGTGGCCAAGAGTCTGTGTATGACTATGTGTTGTTGTTGTTCAGGTGGCCAAGAGTCGAGTGTTCCGGCGTGATGCAGCTGATGTTCATAGTGATGTTACTGTTAGTCTTTCACAAGCCATCCTCGGAGGTACGCTACGCATACCAGGGATATACGACGACATACTGTTAACGGTAAGAGTGCATTTCTGCTTTGCTTTATCAGTTAGGCATGTCAGGATGATATGACCATGCCCTTGCCCTGATCCTTCTTTCTTGGCACTGTACCTTTGGGTTCCACCAAAGTCATGGACATACATCAAGGGCTTTCTTCCTAAGTTAGGGGACACGCGTGGGCCAGTTGTCTTAGATGCTGCAATTCGCTGTGCAGAGTTGCATCCTCTGGACATGTCATAAACCTATGGTCGTTGATTCGAGTTCCGGGGCGATGGGGTTGCCTTGTGGTTAGAGCAATGAAGTTGTATGGCCAGTAGAAAAACCAGATTATTGTTCCAGCTCACCAGGTGCAACATACTGCAAATCCCTGCCTGAAATGTCTTGTACAATGATTACTTTCTCACATAAATTGTTTTTGCAATTTTTTTTAGCTTGGAGGGTGTTTTTTTGGGAATTTATGCCATCATGAACACTATTAATGCCTGACAACAGCTGATTCAATGTAACAGTCCCAGCAGCCAAATGTAGCTTAAGAAGTTGCTTCCCTTAGTTGTGCCAGGATCTGCTACTGTTGATAATGATTTAGATCCTAGATTTGGGTTGATTTCTTTTTTCACTTGTCAGCTCCATCCACACATTTACCTGAGAAACTGTTGTAATCAGCCGTACCCCAACTTCTAAACTTGAAAGGTTTGCTTGCTTCCATGTTTACCGATATTGTCCAGATCCCCAATGGCACCCAGTCCCACGAGAGGATACGCCTGCCAGGGAAGGGAATCAGCCGTGTCAACAGCTATGGCTATGGAGATCACTACGTCCATATCAAGATTAAAATACCCACGTGAGTAGTAGATTCCAACCAAGATCCTTAATACCTTTACCTCACATGTAATCTCAAGTACCCTTACCTCACATCTTATCTCCAACACCCTTACCTCACATTTATTTGAGTGTCTAATCTAATCGTGTCTTTGAATCAACACATGGTATGCAGTATGAACATTCTTATATTATGTGGATAAAGAGGCTTTCATGTCAGGCTTGCTTATGTGAACTTATGCGTATCTTGCCAGGCGCCTAAGTGCGGAACAGAAAGCTCTGATCCTGGCATATGCGGAACTTGAGAAGGGAGTGGAGGGGACTGTTGATGGCGTCGCCAGAACACAGTCAGGTAGGAGGCACACACCTGAATTTATTTTCTTCTGTTTATTGTTTATCGTTATAATTATTTCTATATTACTCTTAAAGATCGACTGGGAATATTTTTAGTACCCTGTGATTAGCCAGTTTAATCTTGTGTAATACTCAAAATTAGTTTTGCCCCGGATCAGGAACATTTTCTCATGCATATCTTTCATCGTATCTTCACATTAAATAGACAAATCCTTCTTTTCTGTGTTTCAGCAGGAAAGAAGGATGGAGGAAAGAGTGATAGTGAGAAACATGAGGAGGAGAAAGACGAGGGGGGATTCCTCGGCAAAATAAAAAAGACCCTTTTTGGATAACACTGGCTTTTCATAGTGTGAATAGAAATATATCCATAACCTGTAAATTCTTCATAATATACACTTATGACTGATTTGTATTTATTTGTATAGATAAGAATATTATCAATTCTTTCTGATTTCCTTGTTCCTGTTTCTTTTTCTGTTTAAATTTACCGATACAAAGATAATGTTGAAATGAGGATGACCAGACCGACATTGTTGGACTTTTAACGTTCATGTTGCCAGAAAATATCTGTTCTGGTTTCACCAAAGTTTTGCAGCTTGTGTTAAGGAAGATTTTCTGTCATGCAGATGGATAGTGTATAAATACAAAACAATACAACTAGATGTATAAGAATGATATGTAACCATGGTAACAAGTACAAGAATACACTGTTATTGTATTGAACTCAAATAGACTCATTGTGGACCCGTTAACTGGCTATAAAAGTTCAGTTTCAACCCACTTCGAACTAGGCTGGAATTTTGTGGCTCGATCATCATGCCATCAGTGGCAATTACGAGTTATGTCCCTTCTATGTCCTTTTTATGTCCCTACTATTGGCCAATCAGATTTTACCTCTCCTGTCGCTTGCATTTGCTTCAAACAAAATGGCAGCACCCAGTCAAGATGATTTTGTAATAAACGAGGTCTTACCTCGTGAAGTGCATAATATCACTTGAGCAGTTTGATTAGAATTATGAGATTTGGAAAAATGCCCACTTGACAGTACACATGCTTTTAAAAACTTGCAGTCGACCAAAATCTGTACGTTGAAATCAGATGTTGTGTTTAGGTCGTAACACAATTTTGATTGGACTATTCATAGACTCATTAATCCAACCAAAATGTAACTCTGGAATTCCAGCCTTTTTCGGCAAGTGTGTCAGGAAGATGATATCACCCCGATACAGGTATTACAATGTTTGTATGAAATTGTGCCGTTATCCTTCACACACTGCCCTCCTCCAGGTCTACAAGCCATCAATGATGAGAGAGGACTTGTTGCTCAGATCAGACAGGCGCTGAGAGGACTTGAGGACAAGACAGCACAGCTGGAGGACAAAAGGACAGATGATAAAAGAGATGATAAGAAAATTAAACAGGAGGACAGTAAGGAAACAGAGGGCAAGAAAGAGACATTTCAGGGTAGAGTCGACAACAAGAAAGAGACAGTTCGGGGTAGAGTCGACGATAAGAAAGAGACCGCTAGGGAGGACGACAATGATGATAGTGATGATGAGGGGATGACGAAGAAAAGCTCCAGCTGAGAGATGCTGCGTAAAGCAGTATTGATGCTGCGTACAGCAGTATTGTAAAATTAACATTGCCTGCCAGCAACAGAATTTGGAAAGCCAATCAATACATTTTTATCATGAAAAACATCATAGTATTTCTGTTGCATAAAGAGCTGATTTCTCGAACTCCCAAAGAATGTGCATGTCTGGAATACAAGAAGAATTCTTTCATCATGTGATTGTATTGTCTTGACTTTCATCCAGAATTTAAGCTTGGGTCAGGGATTTGCTCATGTTCACATAAAAGAAAAGTAGGTCACCTCCAGTCCAGAACACCAGGGTTTGCATGTTGTTACTGGTTTCCCACCTTGTGTTTGTGGCTGGTAAGCATTGAAGCTCCATTTAGTGCATTCTCATTTGTTTCCTGTTGTGCTGTGATCCTCCATGTGCTGTTTCATGTGTGTCTCCTCCACATCTGGATGCATCAGTTAGTGCAGTCATTGTGGCCAGAACCTGTAAGCAGTCATCTGTGATTCTATTTACCGTATTAACATGGCAAAGTTTGAGTCTTGACAAATGACAGCTATACTGGGATCATTAGGAAGCTGTTTTTACATATGAGATGCTTGTTCTGCCTTTGCACACATCAGCACACTGAAAAGCCTTGACAAACGGTTTATTTGGTTCCAGTTATTGTGAAGGGAAACACTTTTTTCATGGGTTACATGGGTCTGTAGTCAGAGATTTCTGCCACCAGATTACAAGTGTTACTCTCCAATATAACCCAGACAACCTATATGCATGTATTTAATTTGAGTTGGTGAAAAGATGATTCAATAGCCTAATCTACCAACATTGTTAGCTGAAGGTGTTGTACAGGTAAACCTGTAAATAGGAATGGTAGTGTCCATACTGTGCTCAGAGATGATGTGATACTGAATGCAGAGATGTTGGGATCAGCTGCAGATATTCATGTCCTACAGCCAACTCATGGCAGAGTGCTACTTAGGTAACCAATTTCTCATTTGAATGGATGGATTGACAAGCTTATGAGATTAAACCAATATTGGGCATTTGGGTTAGCTGTTTGGGTGAGCTCTTGGATGCAGCTGTTAGGAGCAGCCATTAGCAGCGAGGATCAGCCATTGGCTATCCCAATGTCAGTTATCTCTTATGACAAGCATGGATTTTTATAACTGAAACTGATAACTGAAATTTGAAGATTGTTATTCTGGGTTAGTTGTCAGAAAATCCTTGTCCCTTATGCTTAGATAGTGAAGGATCATCACTTTGACTGAGATCTAATCCAGGCACGATTGTGTACAGACCACCGTCATATAGCTGGAATATTGCTGAGTTCGACGTTCAGCAACAAACAAATCTTTATTTTAAGTAAACCAGTCCATCTAGATGAACAGTAAGTGTTCCTTTAACAATTTTTTATCAGGTATCAGGAATCTTACAGAATCATTAAAATGAGATAATTCATGTAATGTTATCAAAAGTATTATTGCAGTACCGGACAAGCAACAGGGCTCTGGGTTTATATGACAAAAGGAATGTTACCTTGTTCCAGGTATGTGTTCTTGTGTTATACCTTGTCATAGAATGTAATGAGACTGGGACTGGGACTGGCAGCTGGTCCTGATGCTGCTGTATGAAGTCAGTTGTGATGTGGTACTTACAGATCTGTGAGCAAGTATAGGGGATTTGTTGTTGAGTTTGCATAGTTAATAAATGTATGTGAGTGTGAGAGAAACAGATGTATATCATTGACTGTGTCATTGCATTTAATATATGCAAATAATAAATGCATAGAATTGATTGGTAGTGTTTTGTTGATTCTTATCAAAGCAGTCTGACTTTGATCAAGGATTATCAGGGACTTTCATAAGTCTAAATCCACCCAATGTATTTTCCCTTTCCTGTCTAGGCTGACACACTGCACCACTCCCACAACAGCATGTTCAAATAGCAAACTCCTTCACAACTACTGTATAAACCCAGGGTGGGTTCTGGAGTTACTAGAACCAACCACATTAGGCCAAAATATAACACAATATAACACAGAAAATACGGCAGAGAAAAGCTTTTTCGAAATTTCTAGCAGTATGCTTGCTCTTAAAGTCCACGGTATCAACTGGTAGATCTTGATATTGCTTTGAAACGTTTAGCCAAAACAGAAACAGTCCCCACAAAAATTAGCTTCACACATTGCACCGATTTTGGGAATCGAACCCAGGTCTTCGGCTACCCGACCGCCCCTTTGCCTAACGTGAACAGTCATTAGTTGTTCCCATTTACAAAGTCTCACGTAACACAACCATCATGTGAAGGCGTCAGTACATTAATTGTTTGATCAAAGAACTTGGTACACATGCCACATCAAATAATGTTACATATACGACCAGTAAGTTTACTGAGAAAGAAATATGCCAAAACCTCGCACAGTACTATCAATTTGACTCGAAAACCAGAAGACCTGCCTTTTTCTCTTTTGTACTGGATTAAAAAAACTCAATAATCCATGGAAAAAGATATACCCTTGGAAAAAGGTCAAGACATAATTAATAATAACATGTCACCATTAATTTCAACGTTGATAGAATAATGATTATGACAAGAATTGTTCCATCGGAAGGATGTGACCGTTCATGTTTGACGATGACGTCAGAACTCCCTGTGGAGTTGCGAAGAAATAAACCAACACAGACGCAAGAACAGTATGGTGCAAAATACACGCAATCCGAGGCATTAAACGACCAAATAAACATAAATAACTCAACAAACGCTAAACATAAAGCAAATAACCTAGCAAACCACTTTCCAGTCATTAGTAGCAATAGTAATTTCTCTGAGAAATTCCAAAAACAATTAAAAAATTAACATAAATTTGCCAAATTGCCCGAAGACGATAACCCAGAAATAAACCAACCATACACAAAAGAGGAACTACCCGATGCCTTAAACAATCGAAAAAAAGGAACAGCCACCGGTCTAGGTGAGGTGAGGTGAAATTGGGTTTAACGTCGCGTCCAAGATTATTGCACTTATATAGCGACGTGCATGCACGTGTATGTGTGTGTGTGGCTGCTTGTACTAGTCCGGACTGATGCCGATTTATAGTGCTAGCTCACTGAGATACCATGCCGCAGTTTAACATGAATACCTCACTCAGACACAGTATACTGACTCCGAGCCGACCAGTCCTTGTTTTAGCCCCTTAATGCCGAGCGCCAGACAGGGTAACAACAAGTACAATCTTTTAACGTCTTTTTGTATGACGCGGCCCGGGATCGAACCCTGGACCTTCCGCTCTCCGGGTGGACGCTCTACCACAAGACCACGGAGGCGGTCCCACCGGTCTAGACCTAACCTCATACCAACTAATTAACCAACTCCCCACAAATATTCTTTAATCACTTAAACTGTAAAATCTCATCTACTGAAACGGTCAGGTTCCGACTTCATGGAAGGAGGCTTTGGTCATCCCAATACCAAAACCGAACAAACCGGCAGACGAGGCAAATTCTAACAGACCAATCTCCCTCGCCCCCAACACTACCTAGACCAAAACAATACAATAAACCAGGACCAAAGGGGATTCACCCAGGGCAAGACAACCTTAGACAACCTTTGACAACCTCGCCCGCATAGAACAAGTCTTTAAAACGGGCCAATTGAACAGACAATATACAGTAGGCATATTCCTAGATTTCTCTAAAGCTTTCGATATGGTATGGCATAACGGACACCATTAATTTCAATGTTGATAGGATAATGGTTATGACAAAAATTGTTCCATCGAAAGGATGTGACCGTTCATGTTTGACGATGACGTCAGAACTTCCCGTGGAATGCACGTGCACAATGCCGCTCATGCATTCTCCACCATGCAGTCTTTTCCATAAAATGTGGGTAATTAAATCCGCAGTCATGCAGTGTTTAATCATTGACTTTGAACATGGCACGAAGGAGGATATCAGTGGCACAGATGGTTAATGCATTCCACGGGGTTTTCCTTTTGGCGTCACCTGGGCTACCATTATATACACACTCATTGTTAATTGATTCTTTATGCATCAAGGTTTTTTTTCCAAGAAGTTTAACTTATGCTTCAGATACATATCGATAATCAGATTACATTCACTAATGGTCAAACAGACAATTCCCTTGACTCATTTACCCACCTTGACCAGAAACATAAAAAGATAAGTGAAATCTGCTCAACTGTTTCATATATTAGATCTATTCATCATGATTCGGAGTGACAAAAATCGTTCCACAAGACTGTGTGACAAGAGGGATGACTTACAATATGAGGGATGAGATACAATAGTCAATAGTCCCAGATTTCGAACAATCTCAATAAAATCAGATCTTAGTTCTCGCTACTGCTAAACAAAGATCTGAGGACATCCCAATAGGGGTCACGTCAGAACGACCTTTCATCCGACCAGAGCGTCGCTTACCAGATCATGGAAGTGACAGTCGGAATGTGATTTCTAATCATGCAATCTCGAACACTTTAACATGGTGTATTCCGAACGATAGTTTACCTGCTTAACGACTGAATCCATACAATCTAGACCATCTATTCGTAATTCCAGAATGTTCTTTTGTTCAGGTTTCAAATTTTTAATCGAGAATTTGTCAAAATATGTTTCGAAGGGTAGTCGCCAATTTGAAATTAGTGCCGTAAATATTTAACCTTGGGCGCAAAAGTGACAAAAAGTATGTCTGACGCAATCCCAAGTTTGACTTGTACATATGTTCTCCTGTGTGTTCAGGTCACTGATAACGTGCCTTTGCACATGTTTGTGACGGGTGCACGGTTGGAGCGGGTTTCGCTCACCTTTTCGCGATCACATGGTATCATCTCTATGATATAGACTCATAAACACATGTTTATGACATAATCGCAATCGTACACTGGAGATTCCTGATTATGATGAACAGGATTCTTTCGCGTCAACTACGCCACTGTGTGATCCCATTGACCCGTGAAGATTCCGGGGTAGAATAGGTCTTCAGCAACCCATGCTTGACGTAAAAGGTGACTCTGCTTGTCGTAAAAGGCGACTAACGGGATCGGGTGGTCAGGCTCGCTGACTTGGTTGATGCATGTCATCGATCCCAACTGCGTGGATCGATGCTCATGATATTAATCACTGGATTGTCTGGTCCAGACTCGATTATTTACAGACCGCCGTCATATAGCTGGAATATTGCTGAGTGCGGCGTTAAACAACAAACAAACAAACAAAAGACAACATACTTCTGCAGTTGTATTTTCAATCAATCATTTACTTGCTTCTATTGACATACACAACAATAAACAAGGAACACGAACAAATGAGACACACTATGAACTACGAGTATTGATGTCTTTACTATACTATGTATATATTTCTCTATATCCAATACACATAGAAAGTAACCGCCTACGTGGTCTAGGGGTAGAGCGTCCGCCCGGAAGGTCCAGGGTTCGATCCCCGGCCGCGTCATACCAAAAGACGTTAAAAGATGGTACTTGTTGTTACCCTGTCTGACGCTCGGTATTAAGGGGCTAAAACAAGGACTGGTCGGCTCGGTGTCTACTCGGAGTATACTGTGTCTGAGTGGGGTATCCATGTTAAACTGCGGCATGGTATCTCAGTGTGTTAGCACTATAAATCGGCATCATCCCGGACCAGTACAAGCATCCATACACACACTCATGTGCATGCACGGCGCTATATACGTGCAACAATCTTGGACGCGACGTTACACCCAATTTCACCTCACCTCACATAGAAAATAGGTTGAAAATATAGTTTTATGGCCTTTATTGTACCAATTTAGGAATCTACTATTTATAAAATCAAACACCTGTTTTCATTTCAAACCACATTGACATCAACTGGAATTTATTTATGCCCTTTCTCTACATTAATCAATGGCAATTTATAGGTTAAATTTGGATTTATTTGATTTTCATGGAAATATATGTAATTAGCGAAGCCATATACAAATATATGCAATGGTTTGAACTTTATTTTAACTCTTAGCAAATACTTTCATAGTGATTCTTTTGTTTTATTTTGATAAACATAATGTGGCATACTTTGTCCTCCTCGCCTACACTTCGGACGGTGAAATTCTCAGAGGAGAACATTTCTCCAGGTTGTGGGTTACCTGTAGATTGAACCGTGCAAAATTCATTTTGGAACTGTTGTTGTTGCTGTTGCATTAAGTGTTTAAGAGGTCGCCTTCTGCCTAAGCAATTTCGGCTGACCTGTCCCTCTTTGGGACTCCTGCGTGTGAGTAGAGTACACATATCTATTGAGTTTGGTATTCGTATAATTTCTGTTTTGTGTTGATATGATTTCTATTTTCGTAAATTGATATAATTTCATTTCTGTCCTTGGCTGCTCTGTTTATAAACGTTCGAGTTGCTGTCCATCTGTCAGAAATAGAGATTTGGAAATATATTTTGTCCTTTCATATGCTAATACACTGCGCCATTCCCACAACAGCAAGTTTGAAATGAGGGGCCCTTCACTATTGCTATAAAAACCATGGCAAGGTTCAGTTCGAAAAATACCTGACCAAAGCGACTCCAGGAAGGGACACTCGTGTCTAGATCATATTCTAAGATTGGAATATGAAATTAAAAAAAGCTCAATTAAACTGACAATACCTAGCCGCAGTATTTCTGGACTTCAGCAAAGCCTTCGAAGTGGTATGACATCACGGACTCCTCACAAAACTAGCACAAAATGGAGTAGAAGGGAACATGGCAAACTTCATAGACAGCTTCCTGCAAGACAGGTCAATATCAG